TAACTAACACAGAGCGGTGTGCCCATGGGGCCAGCAGCCTCCCATCACTGCGCCTGTGCTCCAGTGCAGAGCAATCTCAGCCAGGGAGGCGAGTGACGGGGGGCCCAGGGATGCAGCCACTTGGGAAGTTCCTATCCCACCTGAGAGGCTCGGTGTGAGGACTGGGGTAAAAGCAGGTCCAGAGGCTTATGGCTAGACACGCGGGGACTAAAAGGAGCCAAGCTAGACCTTGTTTTGGAAGAACTCCTTAGGAAACAGAAGTACCCTGGCTCTTCCATCAGAACGTGCCTGTAACACATGCTGCTGAAGAGAAGCGATCCCCACGCTGGCAAGAGTGTCAGCAGTATACCCACTCTGGCAGACAGTTTTGAAATACTTTTTGATTATCAAAATATTAATATTTCTGGCCCTGGCTGGTTAGCTCAGTTAGTTAGAGAGCCATTCCAATGCACCGAGATTGTGGGTTTGATTCCCGGTCAGGGCAAATACAGGAATCAACCAATGAATGCATGAAGAAGTAGAACAACAAATCAGTGTCTCTGTCTCTCTGTCTCTGTCTCTCCCCCCCACCCCATTTCCTCTCTCTCTAAAATCAGCTTAACAATAACCCACAGCCTTCGGACCAACTTCTCTCTAAAATCAATAAAAAATAAAATAAAATAAATAAAAGGCATACAGGAAAAAAATGGAACAAAAATAAGTTTAAAAATATTAATATCTCTGGAAGAGTATTCACATCTAGAAATCTATTTCAATAAACAGAAATGCAAAGAATTATGTGCCAAATGTAGTAAACAATAAACATCCAACAATAGGACTATAATTAAATGATACATAGAAAACATAATATGACCATGAAATATAATTATGAATGCTTTCAATTATGTAGGAAAATGCTTAAAAAATAATATCAACCCAAAATGGCAGAATATGAAATTGTATACATGGTATATCCTCAATATTTAAGAATATGTGCACAAAAAAATGACTAAAAAAGATATCTTAAAATATTAACAGTGATTGCCTCTACACACTAGTACTATGGATGATTATTACTTACTCCTTAATACATTCCTGTGTCCTCCAAAATTTCTACAATGTTATATTATTATATTTTCCAAAGAAAATCTTTTGGAAAAGTATCCCTAAATAATACTAGAGGGAGTGATTCATTAATACAGTAATACCTTATTCTAACATAACAATGAATGTGAGGTGATAGATGTGCTGACTAACCTTACTGTGGTAATCATTCTGCAGGTACGCACGCATCAAATCATCACCATGCACACCTTTCGCTTCCAGAGTTAAATATCAACTATACCTCAATAAAGCTGGAAAAAATAAAAACAATGACATTACATATCAATGTACAAAAACTCAAAACAGCACTCAAAAAATTTTACTTTGAGTATATAATGATAAAAACAAAAAAATTACTATACACACATAAAATGCAAATGAATTTTATTTATAAATGTATAGATGTATACACTTAAAATAAAAGTTACCAATTAGGGGGAAAATACAGTAAAAGAATATAATGCCATAATCAAGCAGCATTTGCTCAGAATTTAAGGACGTTTTAATATAGTGAAAACCATTTGTATAATCATATCGAGTGACTTAAGCGGTAAAAATTATATGATGATAACAAAATATACCAATTTTTACTAAAAGCATCTAACAACAGATGTTATCCCCTTTAAGTAGATAGCATTTGTTTAAGACCAACAAGTAACTTGATATTTAATAAGAAATTTAGAAATCTTTTTATCACAATTTTATTTAACACAAAATAGAGATACATAAGAAAAAGCAACTGTTTTTGCAGCTATGAGTTTGGAAAAAATAGGCCTTCTAAACACTGTTAGAAGAAAGGCAATTCACTAAAAGGCAAATATTTTCTGAAAGTGTTCATTTTAGACCTAGGCAATTCAAATTGAAGCATTAAAAAGATGTTCACTTTATATAACACAGTTCTTAGGGGGAAAAAAGATTTTTTAAATATTAAAAATATATATGTGGGAAGAAAAAAGAGCAATAAAACCAATATGATACCGATTCAATGGATCCAAATGCAGAGTTTAACTCACTGTAGAGCAAAAAATATCAAACTGCCAAGTGTCAGAATGACCGAGAAGAATAAATAATGTTTTTGCTCAAAGCTAGGGAATAAAAACACAAGGCACTGCCAGGAAGTAAGTGCTATGCTAGAGATCTGCGCACTCTCTTGGGGTCAGGGAAGGTTACCTGGGCATTTTACGGAATCTCACCTCCACCAGGTGTTGAGGCAGGTGGAGGGAGCCGAGTGACGACCCTGAGCAGAGCACCGTTTGCAAACCTGGAGCTGCAAGGCCCAGGGTCCCTTCCAACACACTGCAAGCGGGTCAGTACACACAATATTGGCCCGCATTTTAAAAACTCAGTATTTAAAAATCTGAAAATTTATAAAAATCTGGATGCTGGCTCCTTTGGTCAAGTTGGACAATAGGACCAGCTGCACCACACTCCCACATGGACACGAGAGACAGCGGCCCCTTGTAGACAGGGCGCTTTGCCACAGCACTTACCCCGGTCCTCGGACATCCAGCTCACTGCGTCCATTAGCTCACCCTTCTGGGCCCTGAGCCATCTGAATTTATAACTCCTACCCTCCGTGATAGGGACCCCAATAAACTTGATGGCAGGAAAAAGTAGAAGGACTGGGTCTGAATTTCAAAAGATCAAGCAGGCCATGGAAGGGAAGACAGAGGGGAGGAAGGGTGGTAAGGAGATCAATGAAATCCTCTGTTAAATTAAAAATTACAATGGGGCCCTGACCAGCATGTTGGCTGGGCAGCTTCCCACAAACCAAAAAGTCATGGGATCAATTCCCAGTCAGGGTGCATGCCTGGGTTGCGGGTTCAGTCCCGGTCGGGACATGTGCAAGAGGCAACCGATGGATGCGTCTCTCCCTCTTTATCTCCCTCCTTTTCCCTCTCTCTAAAATCAGTAAGCATGCCCTTGGGTGAGGATTAAAAAAAAATTAAATTAAATTAAAATTAAAGTTAAAATGGGGCTACCATCACTAAAGGCAAGTTACCTGGAAACTCCCACCAAAAACACCCAAGACGTGACCTGAAAACCACTGAGTTCTGTGAGAGGTGATGAGGGTTTGAAACAAGGCAGTGTCCAACACTGTAACCAATTTGACACTAGGAACAAGGAGAAAGAAAAGTATAGAACAATTTGCACCTTTGGGGCTTAAGCCATGAGGTGGTGACACTCCAAAGTAAAAAAACAAGAGGAGAAGCAAGTCTGGAAAAAAGGTAATCATTCAATTTAAGATATGTTGGATCTGTGGAGGCTAGAGACGTGCAGCTTCCTCTCATAAGCCCCAAAGAATTACCAAAAAAACTCACCGCTGAGTCTAATATGATACTCTCCAACAGCCGGTCATCAGATGAAAATAAGATAGAATGCATATCAAAGAACGAAGATTAAAATGGGTTAGTATAGAACTGGGTAAAATATTGCAACAAAGATGACATAGGGTCACTAACTTCATATATAAAAGCATAATTATAAGATATATTAAAAAAACACAATAGTATAAAAGCCTACCGAATCCCTTAACATAAAGAATATGCATTTATATACTCTATTGTTTCCATTAAGGATTAAAGATGGCTTACCACAAAAACACATGTAATAAAGGGATAAAATGTGAATAATGATAATAATAAAACGTAAAAATAATTTTTAACATTAGCACCAGAAGAAATCAGAACTAGGAAAAAAAGAAATGAGATATGCAGACCTCAGCACTTTCAGAAACACCACGGTTGACAACGAAAGTGAAAAGCTTAACATAAGTTGTGTGACTCTTCCTGTCCGTGAGGAGAAAACAGCAATTTCTCCCTTTACGAAGACACTTATTGGACTCCTACCCCAATAGGAAAGAGAGAATTTTAAGACAAACATTTTTCTCAATTAAATAAATGTAGCTTATGAAAAGTTACTACCTTGCCCCTTTTTCTCAAATGTTATGTTACTGCAGGACAGTTAATTATTTCTAAAAACACTTTATCCATTGACATTTGGGGCTATCACCACAGTAAACACAAGGGAAGGGTTTCATAAAGCTGCTTGTCCACGGTGCCCTTTGATGAAAACAAAGAACCAAACAAACATCGAAGCATCGCTTGATGAAGGCATCCGGGCCAGGGAGCAGCGAGGCAAGGAAGAGGAAAGTCAGCATGAAACGGGCGAGGTATATAGATTTCGGATGGTTCATCCTGATCCATAGAAGAATGGATGCAGTTTTGAGGAATGGATGAACTACACATCCTTCAAACCACAACAAGTGGGCTTTGGTCAAAGTTTAATAAGAGCAGAGTAGACAGGGTGAGGTAGAAATTGGTGGTGAGCACCCAAAAGTTACATATTCTCTGTTGCTGCCTGAGGGTGCAGCCACAAGAGTCGGGTATTATATGAGCACCGTGTGGTTGACATCCTTTTCTAAAAACTAAGGAGCCTAATTAAAGGCCACTCCACACCAGCACAGAGGAGGTAATCACATGCCCCAGTAATTAAAAGGCATGTACAACATGCACAAAATAAAGACCCACAGAAAGCAGACACAGAAAAAAATTCACTTGCACATAAATGTAAAGAAATGCACATCAAAAGACAATATCATTCTGTGACGACAAACTAAGCAAAAGACTAACCTTAAAAATTTGATACGGTATAGATTTTTAAGAAAAGAGTTATATTCAAAATATCCCAGAATAAGGGAAACAGTTAAGTCAACTACGGCATATTAGTGTTTCTATGCGTAAAAATGATTATGCATGATTAGTGCGAACAAATACAGGAGGATGCTTATGGCACATTAAGTGGGGAAAAAAAGGATATGAAGTTGAAGTACTCAAACTGTATAGTTGGGCACACAGAAAAACACATGGCTGGGGCACAGAGCAAGCCAGCGGGAAGCTGCCCGTTCAAGAGCTCCTGCGGCCTGAGCAGAGCCCTCGGGGACTGAAGGCAGGTGCTGCGTCCCCCAGGCTCGCCCTGCACTGCCCCCACCTGCACGCAGGAGTTGCCCTCGCCCTGCCTGCTCAGCGTCCAACCTCGTCCCCAGCCTTATCCTCCACATCGGACAATGTCTCCTTTGCTGTCTTTAATTTTCACAACACCCTGTGAGGTAGGTATTTTGAAAGAAATAATTCAATGAATGAATGGTTACAAATCGAAGCGCAACAGAAGCTTTGTTTTCAGGCCTTCCGAATGGACACACTTCTTACTTCGCTGACGCCCTTTATGGTTTACCTGCGCATGACTTCTTGGCCGACTGGGCAGGGGCAGGAACTAGGGGACGCGCTTCTGCAGCCACAGCAGCGGCTCCTCCTTGTTTCTCAGGGCCCTGTGCATGCTCAGCAGAAGCTGAATTATCTAAAAAGAGGAAGGAAGAGATGAGACTTCCTAAGACACTCCTTTTATCATTTCTAAGTTGCCTGCAATATTGGGAGCATCAGCCCAGCGAATCAGATCCGACCAAACTCTGGATTTGGAGTTTGGGTCCTTCGAATTTAAAATATATTAAACACACACATATACACACGCACACAGGGCAAGCCGAAAGAAGCTACTTCACCGTAGGAAGGACGCACTAAGCAAGGCCAGATGAAGACAGCAACAGACCCTATACATAACACGGAGTGGAAGGTCCCTGTCACCGCTCATGGCTCCCTGGATGGCCTCCGCCCCTGGTACACACAGAGGTGTCCCCACCTTCACGCCACCTGTCCATGAAGCCAGCCACTGCCATCCCAACATAAGAAAGCTCCACAGTAAAAGCTTAGAGGCTCTGATTGGATGATATGGTTTTCCCATCAACAATTCTCCTGAGCCTATCACCCAGTAAAACTGATTTTCAGCTACAGGCAAATCTAATAGAATAAGTTACCTGAATGCACTGAATGAAAAGAACAGCAAATCATACTGTGTAGACCTAACAAGCGACAGACTGAGCAGCGATATGGGGAGATGGTTATGATGTCATATCACATGACTTAAGACATTAAACCTATATGTACTTTGACCACAACAGGACCAGTCTTTGTACAGTAACAAAACTGAAGGACATGCAAGTAAATGGTAACAATGGGCAAGTAAACTGTGCATTAGAATGAGTGGCGTCATATACAATGTTTATTTCTACTCTATTATCCAAATTTTTCCATAATGTGGTTAAAGATTTCTTAATTGAAAAAAAACTTTAATGCAATTTACTACAAGAAAGCCATCCCTACATTATCCTTTCCTTTCTGGTCGCTGGCCCATCCGCCTCCCCCTTCTTCCCAATGAGGCTGTTCAGACTGGTCTGCCTACTTTCTGACCCCCGGCTCACCAAGGGGCTAACTGTTCAGACACTTGGGTGGGTGTTATTAGCTGGCAGCCCTGAAAATCAACTCCAGCCCTTCCCACCTTCAGCTACAATCACGGTTCTGCCTCCTAAATGCGGACCATCCTAAACTTGCCCTAGGACAGAGCACCTAACCCATGAAGTGCTTTCTCCCCCCCACCCACTTTCAGGTCAAAACTACGCCAGTGAGGGAACTCTGTCTACCTCTGACAGTCTCACCTTTATTTTCAAGCTTCTTGTGCAGCTTCTCGTGCCTGTAGGTAGAGATGATCTGGAAATTAACGACACTGGGGATATTCAGTCCCTGGTCCTGCAGCAGCTTCAGGGATGCCGCGTGAATGAGCTGATGGGACCGCTTGCATTTCTGCAGCTTGCACTCTCCCCTGACAAAGGACTTGCACACATGAAACTTGTTGCACTTGTCTTTGAGGCTGCAGTAACCATACAGGGCTTCGCCTTTGTTGTAGCACAAGCAGACCTGGGAGAGACGTGAGGCAACACTGAAGACATTGTGAAAAGAAGTGAGGTTTCCACTGTGTCTTTTAAGCCAATGGCTGTTAAACTCATTGGCTGAGAGGCGGATGGGCAGGGTCACAGCGCTCCCCCTCAGCCTCCCCCAGCTGTTACGTCACCTCCCCACAGCTGGCCCCTCAGACTTTGACACTCAGTTGACCCTCCCCCCTTCCCAAAACCTGTAGCTAATGAACAAATTCTATGCAGGTATTAAAAGCTGGATCCCTTGCCTCAAGGCTAGACTGATTCCTTCCTTTTTTTTTTTTTTTTTTTTATCCTCACCAGGGGATATGCTTATTGATTTTTCAGGGAGAAAGGGATAGGGGAAGGCGGGCGGCGGCGGGGGGGGGGGGGCAGAATCAATGTTTAGAAAATTCTACTTTTAATTGTGATTTCTCATAAAGTTTTCTTCTGGGATTCCAACTATTTTATTTTTTTAGTTATTTATTATTTTATCCCCACCCAAGGACATTTTTTCATTGCTCTTTAGAGAGAGAGGAAGGGAGAGAGAGATACATTAATATGAGAGAAACATTGGTTGGTTGCCTCCCATACATGCCCAGACCGGGGATCAAACCCACACCCTAGGCATGTGCCCAGACCAGGGATAGAACCCACAACCCTTCGGCAAGGGGCCAGTGCTCCAACCAAGTGAGCCACACCGGCCATGGCCAACTATTTTATTTTTTAAAAAGTATTTGTGTCTAGCTAAACAGACACATATAGCCATTATAACAGTGATAATGGGTAGTTTTTAAGCATTTGAAACTAAATCACATTGTTTCAAAGCAATTAAAATCAATATCTAAGGCTCCCAAATAAGTAAATGGCGGAAAGTACTTATAACAAATATGACCAGAAAAAAAAAATCTTATCATTAAAGACATCTTATCAATTAACAGGAAAAGACAAATGCGTCCTTAAAATAATAGGCAAAAGCATAACCAGGCAATTCACAAAACACAGGCTTCAGAGACAGACCTAAAAATTCCAATCTGCCATTTACTGTGTGACCTTAGGCAAGTTATTTGATCGACCAGAAACTCAGTTTCCACACCTGTAAAATTGGGGGCAGTTTACTAATGAGCTAAAGTACATAAACCGCTTGGCGTTTAGTAAGCACTCGAAAAAAACAACAGACATAATTATTACTTCTCTACCACAGGGATCCATCCCTCCCTGTGTATCGAAGTCCAGTGACATCATAGACTCCAGAAAGGTCAGCTCGGTAGCGTAACCCCCCCCATACACATCGGCTGTCAGGCCCTCCCCTGACTTCTTTGACCCCCCCCGGCGACCACAGGAGGGTGACCCCTTGGTGACTCACCTCCGGTAAAAGGCAGGGGTCGTTCTGCAAAAGCAGAATCCGAAGCTGGGCCTCATTGAGGCCAAAAAGTCCATGATTTTTCAGGACTTGGATGTTGACAGGTGTGTGGATATCATGGGAAAGGGTACAGGTGGACCTAGAACGCAAAGCTCTGAATCAGAGGCCCAGGTGGCCTCTTGGGTAGGCACCCTGACTGGGAACCAAACCCGCAACCCAGGCATGTGCCCTGACCAGGATGGGACCGGCGACCTTTCAGTTTACGGGATGACGCTCCAACCAACTGAGCCAGGGATGGGTGTTTTGTGTGTTTGTTTGTTTCATTTTAAACGAGGACGCTTTAAAGGCAAGCGTATCCCCCTCCCGTAACCCAGTCACTTGCCTTGACAGAGGGTGCCCACCTGTTTTGTAGGTGACTGCTCTTGCTTTCTCCCCCGCAAACAGCTGCCTACCCCCCACAGGCCGCCGCCGTGCCCCCATCCCTGCTTTGGGGAGCTCGAGTAAACCAAGGCAGCCTCCGACGACCCCGCCCAAATCGTCCACCCCTACGTTTCCTGAGGGTCAGACTAGATCGGTCTTTCTAAACCTAGAGAGCTCAGACTGCTTTCTGTCAAACTTTGTGTTTATGGGGGAAGAGGCAATCTTCCTCTTCCCAAGGATCTAATGGGATCCGCAAACACCCAGCAAAAGACCTCTGGAGGAAATGAACTTCGAAGTCCCAATCCTGATTTTCCCAGCCGTTTTGTCGAGGATCCGGGGGCAGGGATGGCTAAGAAACCCCAACTGAGCTGACTTTCCACCTCATTCCGCGCCGGAGCTGGGAGCACAGGGTGGGCCTTCCCCGGAGGACCCTGCGGGGCCCCTTCCCGAGATTTTCCTTCCGCCCTTTCCCAAGAGGTCCCCAGCCCCCCCCCCACCCCCGCCCCGGGCACACCATCTCCTTTTTCAACTGTTTCAGGTCCCGCTTCCAGCGGCCTGCGCGGGGGGCGGGGGTATCGCGCCGCCGCCTGAGTCCCGCAAGGCCGCCGGGTCCCCATCCCGCCCCCTCCCCGCGGCCCCTCACCAGCAGTCGCGGTTCGGGCATTTGCCCAGCATGTGACGGCGGCAGAAGTGCAGCTGGTCGCAGCCCTGGCACTCGCCGCGCTGGTAGCGGGCGCACAGGCGCGCCGAGGACACGGCCACCACCCTCCAGGCCAAGGGGCCGCCGCCGCCGCCCGCGCCAACGGCGCCGGCCGCCACCTCGGCCTCGGCGTCCCAGAGGCCCTCCTTCACCTCCACCTCCTGCAGCAGGAAGCGGTCGGGCCCGGCCTGGCGCAGCACGTCCTGGAGCCTGGCCTCCGAGAGCTCCACGTGGGCGCGCAGGTCCTGCAGGAACATGCGGCCGCCGTTGGCGCACAGCACCTTGGTGAGGAAAGAGCAAACGGTGGGCTCCGCCATGCTCTCGGCGCGGCTCCCTGCGCGGCCCTGCACGGAAATCCGAGGCGGGCAGACTCCTCCCAGTCACGTCCACGATTTCAAACCGAGATCCCGAGACAGGCCGGGAGAGGGCTGGCGGGGCGGGGCGGCGGGGGCCGTGGACCCCGCGGTGCCCCCTGGGGGCCCGCGGACCTGGCTGGGGCAGGATTTACTGAGCGCCTGCCTGCTCTGTGCCAGGCACGGGTCAAGGTGAGTCCCTGCTGCCTCAGGGATTTGTGTGGTGGTGGGGGAGTCACAACACGCAAACAAATGAGAATTCGAGGGACTGGTAAGGAATGCAAAGATGACATAGGTAGTGGGAATTAAACAAATAATTTTAACTTCTGCGGCTTCAGTCTATTTCAAAGAAAGTTTATTAGGCCCTTGGTAGCAAAAAAATAAGACCAGTCTTGGGACATGGAGTCTAAACCACTAGCAGCATATAAAGAGACGTGTCCATTGTCCTGGAGTTTTTTTGGAAGCGTTTCTATACATCAAGGTGGGGGCGGGGGGAGTGATATAAGCCGATCTGAAAGGATTTACGTTGGCTTCAGACAATGGGGATGGGAGAAGGTGAAGCAGGGCCAAGTGCCAAGAAATGTCTGCGCCTGGGGAAGGGGCGGCCGGCCCCACGCGACTCCCCTGGGGAAAGGGCCGAGAAGCCCCCCTGGAGCAGCCCAAGGAGATGGACGAGAGGAGGCGTTCAAGCAGAAGCAAAAAGAGAAGGAACTTGAGGAGCTAAAATCGAAGGTCTGGGAGGGGAGGGATCCCTGGCTACAGGTGGATTTAAGAAATCTCGCAAAAAGTGAACTATTCTTGTGCCTGGGGCAATGGTGACCCTAAATTCCATTCCTGTTCCAACATCTGGATTCCTGGCATAACATCTCCTGCCGCCTAGGGCTAGAACGAAGTATTGTGGGAAAGCCCATTCTACATTTAAGAATAAACTTTATTTAAAAAAAATAAAATAAGGAGGAAGGAGGGTCCCCTCCTGTGGATTAGCTGTGGGCAGCAGATCAGAAAGGTCATGTGCAAATACCAAACGGAGGCTCCTAGGGTTCTGGGGAGCCTGGTTGTTGTCTCTTTTGAGATAATCGGAGAAATAGCCATCTGGATATTAATCCTAAATTCCAACAGATACACAGGAATGTGAGCACAGCTTTTGTCAGAGCTGGTCCACGGGCCAACTGTCCTGTCTCACTCTCCCCCTGCTGCAGTCTAATTTAGAACATCTGATTTTTTTTTCTTGGTCACGTGGTAGAAGGAGCTAGGTGGCCTCAGGCAGTTAGTACGACAAAGCTCCCTGAGGTCGGCACTAGCCTGCCACAAGTGGCCGTTGAACACTTGAAATGTGACCAGTCTCCACTGAGGTGTGATGTGTGAGACACACACTGGAATTTGAAGATTTAGAATGAAAAGAATGCAAAGTATCTCATTAATAACCTATGTGGCTCACTTGATATTTCTGTGGACAGCACAGGCCTGGACGTGCACGTTCATTAACAGCTATCCTCTTGGCCCAACACAGTGCTCATTTAACAAACATTTATTGAGCCAACTGCTAATGCAGTGACCTAGATGAGGAAGACATAACCAAGGAATCAACTGGCCTAGGTGCTATTTTATAGGGCGGTTCTGAGGACCCAGTGAGTTAATGTCATGTAATATAAAGAAACTAGAGGAAAGTAACTGGCCAGATGCCAGACCTTCTCTGCCATGCTAAGGTTTGGGCTTACATACTGAAGACTTGGGAAGCCACATTAGGAATCTCGGTTGCTGGCTGAGTGACATTATCCCTGCCTAGAACGCTTTCCCTGATCTAGAGATCCTTTTTGCCATTCAACTCTTGAGCTTAGAAGTTCAAGTCTTCTCATCAGCAAGGTCTTTCCTGACCTTCCAGTCTCAAGTAGCTCTCCAGTCTCCATATTTTTTCTGATATGACTGATAATTTTTCTTCTCGCTTATTTATGCATTTGTAGAATTCAAGTGCGTGAAAGCAGGAATCTCCTTTGTCTTGTTCATTGTTGTATCCCTAAGCTTAAATCATGCCCGGCCATACTGTGGGATAGGTGTTTTAGGAGGATCCCTGGCAGCAGTGAGAATGTTTTTCTAGAAAAGCAAGGCAAGATAAAGAATAATGGAAGAGGAAACAGGATTTGGGGGATTATAACTTCAGTCTTTATTGTTTTGAGATTGCAATGGACAATCCAAGATGAGACGTTCAGCTGGCAGTTAGTTGTATTGGGTTGACCATAACATGATTACCTTTTTCTGTAAAATAAAAGACACATTCCTCATTTTCACCAAACTTTATTGACTGGATACTTTGAATACGTCGGCTATCTCCTGCTATTGGTTTCTAGTGGGTAGAGGCCAGGGGGGCTGCTAAACACCTTCCAATACATAAGACAGCCCCTCAGCAAAGAATTATTTGACCAAAATGTCAATAGTACCAAGACACTTCAGAAACCACTTTTGACACGTTTGATCAGTCACAGCACCTTCTCCATACACTGCACATCTTTTTTTTGCATTTCAGTTGCATTTTTACCTTCCTTGAAATAATAAAGCAAAACACTCCAAAAATGTTGCATATCTTCTTCCATCTTCAGTATTAAAATGGCTGCATAAAAATTCACCAATTTTGATGTGTGTGTTTTTTTTAAGGCACACTGTGAGAGTCGATAACATCACTCAGCAAAAAGGAAGAGTGAAAAGCCAAGGAGGGAGGATAAAACCTTGGGGAACAGCAGCATTAAACAAGTCTGAAAACTTGAGTGCCCACTACGCCAAAGTAAATGAACAAATAGGACAAATAACTAATTGGGAAAATGCATACATCTGCTCAGGCTTGGTTTGATGGCATTTCCATGTATTTGAATGCGGGCACTCTGGCAGCAACAAGTTGGCTATCCATTATTTTATTTCCACTGGGGTCCAAGTGAAATGGCAATTCTACCTTCCGTTTAGTCAAATCTACACTGCCACATAGGGATTTTCCTCCTCTTCCTGCCACCCAAAGCTTTGTGATTAGAGAACGAGAAGCGCTTTTAAAGGAGTGATCGCTAGGACAATTCTGATGACCATTTACATTTACATGTTTACCTTTGGTGTCTCGGCCTGGCCCTGGTCCCTCCCACCCCTGACCACAGGAAGAAAAGTGTCTTAGCAGCTTCCAGCCTTTCCCTCTCAAAGCCCCTGAACAGAAGATGTGCCAACTGGCCGCAGGCTTCTCCATCACCACCACCCTGCCCTTCCCTGGCAGTGTTGTGGTCATTGTGTCCTGGGATGATAAAACTGGAAGGGACAAAACACATTCTCTATCCCTCATTGAATAAATTGGTGTCTGCCGTTGACTGTCTTTCGGAGAAACCTAGGAATCAAGCAAATGCAGGCAGCAGAGCAGAATTAATATATACTTTTTATTCGTCTCAAATTGAGCTTGAACAACAAATATAACTCAACTACTGAAATATAAATTGAGCTTACTTTATTCAACAAAATTTATGTTATCAGCGTATGAAGCACTCGGCTAGTTAGGAGGTTTGGCACAGTGAACAAGACAGCCTGACTCAGCCCTCAAGGAGCTTACATTCTAATGCAGAAAGCAGACGGCTTCAAGGTTGGATAGATGCTAACAATGAACACAGCAAGGCACACCGTATTTTAAAAACTGGGGATCTGGGAGGCAAAGGTCCAATCTAATCTATAGGACTCCTCATGGCGGTAAACAAGCTGATCTGAAGATGCTGGATATTAACTGAGTCAGTGGTTCTCACCAGCGAGTTTGGAAATTGATGTGTTGTTGGTTTTATAATAATTGGAGACTATTACTGCCACTCAGTGGACACAGCCAGGGATAACATGTCCTGCAGTGCATGGGTCAGCCCCACAGAACGAAGAATTATTGTGTACCTATACGACTCTTTAATGTCCCGCTGGACATATATGTAGGACCTACAGCTTGCCTGAGAAAATACAATAAATGTTTTCCTCTTAGACAATCTGTAATTTGTCTTGTCCTACTATCCTTATTTACAGTAAGGAAATTTCGTTCTTTCCCTTACCTTCCCTTATGGATAAGGTGTATGGTCTGTTATGGCTTAACTCTAACACTGGTCTTCATTCTAGTGTCACCTGTACTACTTCTCTCTCCTTTTCCTGTACTTCTTCACGGGAAGCAGCCCTGATCGACTCTTAAATCCAACCCTATTCACTCTAAGTAGAGGTAAATATCTACCTCATGGTGTTGTATAGCATAGTCATGCCTGAGCATTTCCATATTGAAATTCAGTTTATTTTTATTACAAATTTCTTTCCTCCTGTTTCTCCCTTATAAGAGTTAGGGCCACAAATGGATTTTTAAAGAAAGGCATGTGTATAAATAGATTGCATTATCTAGGAATCACCTCAGGACAGTGAAAGGGATATTACAAAATATCTGCTCTGAAAAAGGTGACGAGATCTGGTAGGGTTTGTGGTTGTCACCACAACTGGGGGAAAGGAAGGGCGCTGCTGCCACTTAGTATGTGAGGGCCAAGTATGCTCAACATTTTGCAATACATTGGACAGTCCCTCACAGTAAGGAACTACCCTACACCCTATACGAATTCTGAATGTCTCACTAGACATTCCTGTATGATCTACGGCACGTCTGCAAAAATATACGTCCCTCATTTTCTCCATTTCGACAATCTGTAGATTTCCTTGCAATGTATGTTTATTTCACTGAAGGTGTTCTTATAGAAATACGTACTAGCATAAGCAAATGAGTTATTGCATCGCTGCTTTTTATTCTAATGTCCACTTGTATCCCCGCTGTTTTATTTTCCCATACTTCTTTGTACAAACTAGCTTCTGAGCTCCTCCCTTCTTTTAAGTTCAAATTAGTCATTGTACGTAGGTGTAAACATCTGACTACTTAATTAGGTCTTGTAGTATAATCGTGCCCAAGTTGGGTACTTTTCAAATCCCTTTTATGTTCCTATTCCTTAATTTTAAACTTATTTCTAAAATGCTGTGTAGATGTGTTACCACTGAATTGCATTTTGAGGATGATAAAGCAGATGTTACAAAGTACTTGTCATTTAAAAAAAAAAAAAAAGGCAGGAATGCTAGTTGAGAACCACTGATCTATGTGAAAAGGCTACCAAAGGCCTGCCAGAAAGCCCATGGTGAATGAAAAGATAAATGAAGGAGGGGAGGGAAAGGAGAGAGCACCTGGGGCCGTGATAATGATTTTGAACCTTATTCTAAAGGTGTGATGAGATTTGTGTTTTGAAAGATTATGAAGTAAACATTTTTTCAATATGGCCATTCTTGCTCAGTAAAGAGCAACTTAGAAGGGGACAAAGATATTTACGAGGGAAAACAACTTGGGAACAGCTTAGGAGCCTAGGGGAAGGCAGAGGGAGGGGTCGGGACAACTTCTGGATTTCTGCCTGAGCAGCTGTGTAGAAGTTGATACCGTAGATTTCCATACAGACTACGGGGGAAGGAACCAGTTCGTTTGAGGGAGGCTGCCCGGGAATCCCGTCTTGGGCATGCTGCCATAGAGATGCTTGTGAAATATCCCACCAGAGATGTCTAAAGGGCAGTAGGATAGAGTTGGATAAACTGCATCTCTGCAACATGAGGGTCAAGATCAGGAAATGAAAACTCCAAAACAGAAGCTACCATGAAAAAAAAAAATAAGTAAATGAGACTATTTGTGGCAAGCCTCCTAGAAACTAACCCTACGCCCAAAAACCTCTATACATTTGTTACTAGTGGGGCTCTCTAAGCCAAGGACTGGTAGCGTGCTTTGCACCGATCAAAAATCTGACATACAAAATTTTGATTGCTAATGAATTTTCGTAACATGCTCCCTGCTGGAAGGAACTATAACAAGAAATTGTGGAGATTGGGGTGGAATGCTTTAAAACTGAAAAGAAAAACCTGATTCATAGTAAGAACCTTGGTCCACACACCACAACTGCTCTAAAAACTGACTGTACTACAATTCCCTACAATCCGTTCCATTTAGAGAAAGAAGCCCCTTGAAGGGACCCGTTGGAGCCATTGTTTTCTTTGTTCTGATTCTGTGCTCCCCAGGACACAAATCCCGCCTCCTCAGGGTGCCCACCCATCAACAGGAGGGCCCTGCCCCTACATCCCAGGGGAGCCTTGCCGGCCATCGCAAACATCGCAAACGACGACAGAACACTCAGGATTACCGGTCATGACTATGTGACTCTGGCTACCGCAACTCAGTGCTCCCAAAATACACACACTTCATCAAAGTCCAACCTGGAAAAGGCCTTCTCTGGAATCATACTGGGTATAATGGCCCAAATGGGCCATTAATTCGAGTTGGCACTTCTCTCTGAGACACACTTGGCAACTTTTCTCACTGAATTCCAGAGTCGACCTGTACGGAGCCCCACTAAATAAACGTCGAGATAACGAAATGTATGCCTCTAATCAGTTTCACTACAAAGGTACAGCGCTGTAGCTATGTCTGTAATGGCATTTAAATTACCTTTTCTTCCCCACTGCATATTCCTAAACACTTCTAACCCAACTTTTCACAATCTTCCACCCATAGATGTACTGTCTTAAGTCCTTATTTCCACAGGCATTTTTAGATTTCTCGCAAAGTTCCTAAGTTAATTTTTTTTTTTTCAACTTAACCACAGCAAAACCATGCCTTACAGTCAACTGCAGGAGTGGTTGGGAGAGAAAGGTTGCTTCGACTGCAGAAGCTGTAGAATCAGTCTTTCCCAGTTACATCCAAGGCAGTGGCTCCCAAACTGTCAGAGACGTAGCTGCAGCCTGGCTCACACCAGCAGAAACAGTGATTTAGTTGGAAGGGGATGCATTTTGGACATCGGGATTGTGTAAAATTTCCAGATGACTCAAATGTGCAGCAAAGTTTGGGAACCACTGATCCGAGGCATTCGATAACTAGGGGAGGAAATGCAAAAAAGTCTAACTTGGATCGGCGGCAAATCTCCTTCTGTAAGCGAATGGAATGGTTTCGGCACCCTTTAGGACAGTGTAGCCATCATTTCTAACTAATTACGCAGGCTTTATCTGATTCCGTATACTCAATCAGGTATTCCGGGTAAATCTGGTCTTTCTGAAAGATAACGAAAACGGAAGGGTTGAACCTTGTATCCACACAGCTGTCATACAGTGAAGGAGGGCTCACGTAACTCCTGTTTCCTTCAATGAAATCTCCGACCAGGACCCGGGCGACAAACATAATGATGTTTTTGGGATCGTAATGGCAGTTTCTATGGGCAGCAATGGCATCTTTCATAAAGTAATTTCCTAGAAATAAAATAAAAAAGGTTAAGAATTATTATAAAAGAAGGTATGTAGTTTATAAGATCATTTGCACATAATTAAAGGATGGGCAGTGACTAAGCCAGTGATTTTCAACTGGTGTGCTGCGAGAATTTTTAAAACACGCAACACTGGACTAAATTTTTAAAAATGACACACAAGAAAAACAGCCAGCACAACAAGAGCCGTGCAGTGTGAATGAATCAGAATTATACCTATCTTCTTTGCCAGATCTGCAAAACATGTGTTTTTCGTGTGCTGCAGAACCTTCATAATTGGCTTATGTGTGTCATGAGAGGAAAAAGCTGAAAATGGCTGGGCTAGGCACATATTATCAATACCTTGCTGATATTCATATACTTCACTTTGTCCTTACAAATGTTTATGGTACAAGTAAACTCGCACACAGCGTATAAACCCACTGGAATTGTGAGATGGCGGCTTCTGTGCAGGGCTCGCTGTGACGGTACAAGCCACTGGGTGCAGACCAGGTGGCGGTGTCACCATGACCCAATTCGTGCAGGTCGTGCAGGGTGAGCTGAATCATAATGGATGAACCAAAGATATTCCAGCAGAGGCCATTTAATAACGTAAGGGACAAAGATCATTTACTACTGATGGGACGGTCACGAAAAATGGGAAAGGAAGTGGTAGAGTAAGACAAGGGAATTGACCCTGGCAGAGCTTTTCCAAGATAATTGATCCATCGTCCTCAAATCTAAAACCTCTGGCAATCGTGCAAATTCCCATACTCGGCAGATCAACGACGATTTCCTCACAATTTAAAATTTCCTATTTTTATTTTTAGCGTTGCCAGATGCTTTTCTGCCCTTTTAAAGGAAGTGAGTGTATATGGAAAATTCTGATTTTTCTATGCAAAAAGTAAGAATTTCAATGAATTTGTTATATTTATAGTAATATGTTTAATACTTTTTTCATTTATTTTTTGTTTTATAGTATTATTTTTTTAGAATTCAGATGTTTGAATTTCTGAACTATTGCTTATCCTGGTTAGGTCAGCTGCTGGATATGCTGGGTAAATGATGTTCAATAATATTTAGAATAAAAAATTAAAGTCCAACTATACTGACCTACCATTTCCAGTCCTACTCTCCTTCATATACACAGTTAACAGCTTGATGGGAATTCTCTCATACCTATTCCTAGGCATTTACACACATATAGCTCATATGGTTTTATTTTTATTTGTTCATAAATAGGAGCATACTATCTGAACTGTTCTACAACTTTTCCCCCCTCTTTAGTCCTACAAATCTCACTATGTCAGCATGTCTAACCCTACCTCGTTCTTTTTCTGTATAGGGTTCTACTGCATGGCTATTTAACTTAACTTCTCCTGTACTGATGAAAACATGGGTTGATTTCACTTTTTTTGCTATTACAAAAACACTTCTAAGTAAATGCTTCTGAAACATCCTAGTAGATATCCCTTTGAGAACCTGTATAAAGTTCTGTAGAACAGATTGCAAAACTGTCATGGCTGAGTCAAAGGACACGAGCATATTAATTCTGACAAATATTACAAACTGTCCTCCAAAAATGGTCTGGAAACAACCATCAATAATGAAGAAAGTCCTGTCTCTCCATTTCCTTGCCAACACCAGATATTACCTGTCCTTTTAGTTTTTGTCAACATACTGGGGGGGAAAAATCTAATTTTAATGTTTTGCTGAATACTAGTGACATTGAGCATCTTTTCATATGCTTACTGGCATTACTTCATATGCTTTTGTCTCTGAAGTGCTTTTTCACCCCACCCCAATTGTATTCTATGTTTTTTTCTTATTTATGTGTGACCAGAACAAGTCTGTGTCGGGGAGACAGTAAGTCCATCGGGATCTTTTTATAATCTTATGAAGTGGGCCAGCAGGTAAGTGGAAAATGACCAGGACACACACACAAAATCATCAACCTACCACATTTCTAGTGGGCCACCCATGCAGTCCGCCTCTGTCATTGCCAAGGACCCTCCAGGCCAGCTGGCTGCAGCTCCTCCGTTTTAACAGATGGGCAATGACGCCTGCGCTCTGTGCCGCTCTGCTATAGCCTCCACGGGCAACCAGGGGCACAGGCCGTGCATCCTCTCTTATTTCTCACTGTGACGAATACCCACTACACATTCTGGATGACGCTACCCATCTCTTAATGTCCTGGTACAATCGTGCCTCATTTCTTAAGCGTTTGCAAAGGACTACTCCTCTTATGTCAATTTCCAGAACGTCTCATCAATTTAAGCTACTCTGGAAAGGCATCTCGATGGCATACACATTTCTGTGATTTCAAGAGTAAAACAAACTCACTTGACTCCTCCTTTTACCGCTACGTCAGAAGTAGACGTAATCCTGACGTGCGGTGGCACTACGCAGGGCTGCCCCTTGAGTTGCCGAGGTGGACAGAGCCATTTACTCGCATACGAATGGCCACAGCAGAAGGAAAAAATGCTGTGCTCGTGTCTTGCAGATCGTTTCTTCTCATTCCCCACTTAACAGCGGTGTGCTCTCCTCTTGCCACCTGCCTCTGGCATCTCTTTTCTCCCACACTCCACACTTTGTGGGTTGAAAACAAAAAGACAACATGTGGTTTCTGAAACAAGACTAAGTGGATTCTGAGGTGCTCCCACGGGCTAACATACAGGATCCTCAGTACAAGAACTTTATGACAACAACTCAAGCCATCATAACACAACTGTTCTTTCAGATTCGGAGTTACATCCCAGAAAGCCGGCATTTCCAAATAAGCGGATTCCAGTTAGGCATGTGAGAGGCGTAAACTAAATAGTATGGAGTTACAGGTGAAAACAGATTTGACTTCAAGAAAATGAAATTAAATCAATAGACAGTAATCCCATTCATATTTTTTCTTCAGTGTGCACTTTAATTGCTTGAAGAAGCTATAAAATCCATTTTCAACATTCAAAGATAGTTGTCTATGTTTTCATGGCACTGGGTTACTTTTATACTTCAATCAATATTTTTTCTGTTCTGTAAGAAAGCCTGCGTGCTGATTTGATTCTTTGATTATTCTTCTCTCTCCATGAGAGCTGAATGAAATACTTGTAAAGTCAATGAAAAATGATTCTTTATACAGGTATTCTAGACCTTTAGAAGGCATTTTTATCATTCTCCATTCAAAAGAGTAGCCATTACCCTAAATGACTCCTTTTTAAAATGAAGCATCGTGTGTTTTTAAATCCTACTTATATATTCTGGAGTCTACATTGGCTCCAATGGTCCAACCCTAAGACCCAACCTCATAGCCCACTCCCCAATGACCTGGACTCTGTTTTATTGCCAACACCCACAGGGAACAGATCCCCTGAAACCCAACAGCCTGTGCACCCCTGTCACTACCTTATATCTGGTCTGGACTCTTGAAACAACCTCCTAATATTCTCTCTACCTGCAGACTCGGTCTCATCCAGCCTTTCTTCCCTGCACGGCCAGAGTCCTTATCGCTCTCTCCGAAAGCCAGTGGTGGAGCGCGGCTGCCCACAGGAAAAACGCATCCCTTTAAGACGGCTTGTAAACCTCCTCAGCATCAGACCCCCAGCCTACACCGCCGGCCTCCTCTTCTGTCACGCCCCCCAGGCCTTACGTGCGCTGCGCTGTCTGCGGCCTCCGAGGCCGTGGCCACCTCTCATCGTCATGAACACTCTGCCCCCATCTTTATGTTGTTGTTGTCTAGTTCTAGCTTTTGTGTGTCCTGCAAGTCACACTTAGACTTTGCAATATGCCGATTTTTAAAAATCTACGTTGTTGCTATTTTTATCCACTCATTATAATTGATGTAATAGGATAGTCCTGTCAAAGACATTGTGTTTTTTACTTTTTTTGCAATTTTTTTTAAATACGTAACCATCTTTTCTTTATCCAGGCCCATTCTTTGCCTCAGAGATAATTAGAGTCTTTGGAAGGAATACAGAAGGAGAAAGAAAGAATCATGGTCAGCTTCTGATCATCAAAATAGGATTTAGAAATGCACTGAATAAATAAAGGTCTTGGGCCCGGGCCAGGTAGCTCAGTTGGTTAGAGCGTCGTCCCAATGTGCCAAGGTTGCGGGTTTGATCCTTGGTCAGAATACAGAGGGCACCAACCAATGAATGCATAACTAAGCAGAGAAAATCGATGTCTGTCTGTCTGTCTCTCTCCCTCTCTCTAAAATCAATCAATAATAAAAATGATGACGGGCTTTGTGAACTGACTAATGGGCTTAGTCAGACAAAGCTCTGACTAAGACCAGGGAATAGAACCCTCTCTAGGCTGAGAGTCAAAAAAGACCAAGTTGGTTCGGACTCAGCCATTCGGGGGCCTGGGCTCCACCCTCCTGGGCCTGGGCTAGACGTCAAAGATGACACAGGGGTCCGGGGGCAGAGGGAAGCACGTGTCTCATTTCCTGCCCAGAACACCAGCATTCCAATCCTCTGTAGATCCATTTGAGTTGTCTATGCAGACACTCCTATCATCTTCAGAAATAGCATTTTTGTTTCTCTTTCTTCCTAACCATTTGGCATCCTGAAGTGCCTGGATTGCAGAATCTGAGGAGGCTTTGTAGGTCTGATCCATGCAGCACCCTGCACCCTCACGATGGCCCCTGGCCTTCTCCACCTCCGGTCCAGCCTCTGGAGTCAAGTGAGCCTCTTGAGCCCTTCTTTGCTGAGCTATCCCCGAAACGTGCTTCTTTTCTTAATTTCACCTTGCTTCTACTTTTTGTCCAAATCTTAGTTGTTCAAACCTCCTCTGATTATGCAGCTAAAGTGGCTTTTATCCAAATGCTAAGGTTCTTTTCCTTGGTCCAGACTGATCGGCAGTTGTGGCCTAACTTTCTAGCTCTTACAAGCACTCTTACTATAACCTGTTTTCCATTATTATCCTCCATCTCCCAGCAGCTGCCTGCTTTCCACCTGCAATTTATGAAGGTGTAGCCCAGAGCCCTTCTATGTTTCCAGGCATGTCTTTTTGCTCAACACTCCTTAAACACAGCCACACATGAAATTAACACAGGTCACAGCCTCCCCGAGCAATGTTACCCCTGCACCCGGGGGCCCTGTTTTCCCTCGGAGAGCAGCAGTATCTTTGAGATCTACCACTGGGCTTCTGTCAGGGTAACTGCCCGACCTTCTTACGGTAATGGACCCAGAGGTTCACACCAGTCTAGCCTGGTCCCACAGCATCATGGGTGATGAGAGCAGAAAGCTCACATTCAAAAGAAACACAAACCAAATAGAAACACCTCCTAATAGTGTGTAACAGGAGACAAGCCAAATAGAAGGATCACCCCCTGAGCTGAACAGGAGAGGGAGGCACAGGAAAAAGGCCAAGTGCCTGGAGAAGCGCCTTGCCTCTCCGTTAGCGCTGCTGACCGCACCCTCGCGGCACCGGGTGTTTCCTTGGCTGTCAACAACGCTCCCCTTTTACCCAGTTAAAGGAAAAACAATAGTGAGTGAGTGAGACTACCAAACGATTAGCTATCTCTATTTTGGGGGGCTTCAGTACTCTTCTGTTTACACAAGAGGAGAAACAGCTGAGCACCCGTGTAGGTCCCTATCAGAGTCCATTATACACTGTATTTCCATTTTCTAAAAGATAAACACCTGAGCTCTGACATAGACTTTTGAGAAACCGATGGGTTTACACTTCACACACGTTGTATCTCACTCTACATGGTTACCCACTTTCTGCAAACATTTTTAGGTAAGTTTTAGGGATACATTTAAATGTAATAAACTTAGGAAATTCTCATCAGGTCAATCCCCAGGTTAAAACCTTTCATTAGCTTCTAATGCCCTTTGAGTCAAATCTAAACTCTACCGTGTGGCCATGCCTTGCACCACTTGCCCCTTATCCTACACGCTGACTCTGCGCGGCAGGCGAACCCCCCACCCCCCGCCACGCCTTCCCGTGGGCACACCTCTCAGGCTGCACTGGGTGTCCACAGGACCTGTTCATTTCCTCCGCAGCAGCTGCATGAAATCAGTTCATTATATGAAATAATTGGGGCATGTCTAACTTGTTCACCACTGTGTGCCCAGTATCTAGCATATAGCAGGCCCTCAGAAATATGTTAACTGACTGATTGGCTTCTTGCTTTTTTTGGGGGGCGGAGGCAGTGAATTTAATCTTAGTTGTATCAACTGAGCCCATTTTGAAACTTGATAAATTATTACTTATTCCTTTAAGGCTAGAGATTCTTCGGTTTTTGTTGGTTTGTTTCTAAGAGTCGCGTGAAGTTAAGGAGCCCGCAGAAAGAGCTGAAAAGACTTTGCATGAAGGCAGACCCATGTGACTTCAGTCCCCAGGAGACCCAGCATGGCCTGAAATGGAGAAGCCTCCTCTCCCATCTTTGACTAGAACCCATCCGTGACAATAAAAGGCTACTTCAAATGGCTTTGATGGGATGGACATAGGTCAGGAAGAGCCACAGCCAGCACTGAGTAGTAATAGTAGACGAGGCAGCCGATGAGGCAGCCAACAGGTGACATGGTTGGCAAACGCGTATGAGATCAAAGAGTCTCAGAGAATTAAGGTATTTCATGAAAAAGGAAGTTTTCCCCACCAAAACCAGAAGGCAGGGGCAGGATTAAGGTCTAGCAATCCAGTCCCAAGTCCATTTCCCACTCTAATTTGGGCACTTAAACTTAAGGCGAGTTTATTTTCTCTCCACCACAGTGAACGTCTGGACATTCCAGTTAATGCAAAATAATCACATATATCTCATAACAGAAGCATATGCAGATCTTCAGGTCTGTAAGCCAGGTTTCTCTATTCCAGTACAAACCTTTTCCATATCTGGTATCAGGAGTCCCGTGCTTGGTCCAGTCAAAATTATTTGCACAGATTGAAGCCACGTGGGCGCGGCTCGTGGCACAAAATAGGATTTTTTCATTGCTATTCTTCATCTGCTCTTTTTTCCTAATACAAGAAATATGAAACTTAACACCGAGAACATTCCTCTCCCGCTCCAGTTAATAACATCAATGCCAACTATAGTCTCATTGTCTTAAAAATCATTTCACCACCATTCAGAATGGAGTTACATACTTTAAGACAACAGCTGGTGAAATATATATATAGATGAAAACTTTTAAATGATAGACACATGAAATCACTGCATTGTAAAACCAAAGCTGAAAGAAGCTTGCGTTTACACAATGAAAACCAGAGATTAAAGAAACTGCTGATGACTAAAAGAAACCAGTGAATATAAATCTTAAAGGCAGACCTTAACTAATCCTTTTAAACTCTGTACAGAAACACAGCCACCTACCTTCTATAAGCATTCAAGAGTTGTACATTCTTGTTCTTCCTGATCTTTTCAATCTTGAAAGTTTTCATAGTCGCTTTAAAATGCTCACTTATTGTGGTATATTCCATGAGATGGTTACTGATCTCTAACAACTAAAAAAGTTTTAAATATAAAAATGTGGCACAGGACACATTTAAAGCATGCAACATCCACACGTGTGGCCCCTGGGCCATGGCCAATGACAGCAGGTCGGGTAAGCTGGCTTTGGCAGTTCACTCCAGTAACGAACTAGCTGACACAGGCTGCCTGTTCAGGCTGACACAGCTAACAAATGCCTACAGGTAAAAGGAGGCCCCCAGGTGTCTGAGTCCAGTGACCTGGCAAGTTGCCAAAAGCCAGGGTAGGGCAGACACATCAAAGGTCGAGCTCAAGCATCATGTGGAGGCTAAACAATCTAGGAAGTCTTGCTCCAACCAGGCTAGGTGATAAGGTGAGCCATAGTTTGTATGACCCTTGAAATCAGCTTTTTAACTGCAACTCGTGGACAAGTCAGTTTTACTCTCCGAGTTCTGGTTTTCTGGCCCATAAAGAAAGTTACTAATCCCCGTCCCACAGGGTTTTCATGCGCGTCTGCCCCAGTGAGCGCCTGTGTGGCGGGACCCCGGAAACAACGAGTTTCCCTGGGAAAATGACACCATCACCATTTAGCTGCCTGCCTTTGCGTCTTGATCCGCGAGTTTTACAAAAGCAACATGTTCTGTCATGCAAACAAGTACACATTTGTGACAAAGTGCTTTTCCCCACCTTCAAACAATTCCCCCACCGAAAGGTAAAAGCCAAGTACCTCATAAACATCCTGCGGGGCGGAGGATACCTTCCACTGAGGAAGACTTGTCGAGGCTAAAGTCTCTGGCTGGGTCTGCACCGGCTGATGGCTACAAATAAGAGAGAGTTAGAATTCGCTCAGCCCCCTGTCACATGTGCCCAAGTACCTCCTGTCCTTAACTTCCAGCCTCTAAGCAAAGCTTTCTCAGAAAACTTCGTCGTATTTTTCTTTGGACTGTATCCCTGCATATTTCTGCTGTAGATATGCCAGTAATCATGCTTTTTATTGATTTATTTTTATTAATTTTTTTAATCCTCACCCAAGGATATGTGGATTGTTTTTTAGGAGACAAGGAGGGAAGGAGGGAGGGAAACATTGATCTGTTGCCTCTCGTACACACCAGGGATTAAACCCGCAACCCAGGTATGTACCCTGACCAGGAACTGAACCGGCAACCTTTCAGTGTACAGGATGACGCTCCAACAAACTGAGCCACCCAGCCAGAGAAAATCATGCTTTTTGAAAATGCCAAAGTTATCCAAACTTTGGTAAATTAATTAAATGTTATGTTCCCATTCATGTAAAATATAAAAGCATTAATTCTTTTTTATATATCTGCTCAATCGTTTTTATATTTCTGCTCAACCTTCAAAGTCCTAACATGTTAGCATTAAGTAAGCGTGTCCTTCAGGCTTCGTTGTCAAACAGTAAACATTTAAGTATATTAAAGGGACGGGGGGGGGAATCCTGATGCCTGTGAATTGTATTTCAAGGTAACCATGCATGAGGAAAACTTCTTCTTTATAGACAAAACACAGCTACTAATTGCAGAAGAATGGACAGAATTAGAAAAACACCATTTTGTAACCTCTCATGAAATAATGGATCTAAACAATGACTATCAATATCTGTTAAAACCATTAGGTAGAAGTGCAGATGAAGACTTTTATAATGGAGGGATCAGACTGCAATGACTTGAACCCACACTCCCATCTTCATAGACCTCTCTTCATAACGCGTGACAGGAAGTCAAAAACACCAGTTAGACAGGGTCCAGCAGAAGTAATGTCACTGAGAGTAGCTGGTAGGGTACCTGAGTATCTCGCACGAGAGGGACAGCAATTTGAACGTTTCACCTAAAATGTACTATGGTGTGCTCGAGTGTGATATTGTTATGTTACAGATTTACACACTTATGATTTTGTAATGATTTTTATATAATAGAAAAAGGACGTTATTTGTGCCAGATGCTGTATATTATTCTTGACCAAAAAGGGAACCCGAATCTAATCAGTCCTCTAAATCTAACCATTAATTCACAGAAATTACACACAAATAACCCCATGAGTATACAATTTGCTATATTTTGAATTTGGAAGATTCTCTAGGACAAATCATCTTATTTCTTTAAAAAAAAAAATGGTGGAGGAGGGGAAACTGTAATAGATTAAAAGAAGCTTAAGAGACAAATCTAGCAAATGAAATAATCATATCCTATTTTGATACAAATTAGAGTAAATCAACTGTTAAAAGTCATTTTTGAGACAATGGGAAAAAGTACAACAGGAACTGGTATTAGATGATATTAAAGAATCACTGTTAATTTTGTGAGGTGGGTTAATGGTATTGTATGTTTTTAAAACTGTTAGACGCACTTGAAGTATTTACAGTGAAATGATATGATGTATGAAATTTATACATGAAAATATTTAAGCAAAAGAAAAAACTTCAAGATGATAGTAGAGACAGATGAAACAAGAATGGTAAAATATTTACACTCACTGAAGTTGGGCTTCTCCATATAATTCCCCCACTAACATGTAGGGATTTATTATACAATTCTTCTCTACTTTAACTTTGACATTTTCCACAATGAAATAACTAAATTCAAAAAATGTTTTAAGGGAAAAGAAACCTCTTTCACGACCCCCTTTTGTAAAATGAAGATTCTTTTGGAATGCGAGATTAACCCCAATGTACCTGTGTTTTAAACTCAAGGTTTCCATACTGAATTTGCACAGTGCAGCGCAGATCAAACGGTTTCGAAGTGCCCACCAACAGTGAAGTGTGCCATGGAGTTCACTCCTCTTTGGACTGTTCAGGATGGCGCTCACAGCCCCATCTTTTCCTAAAGGAAACGGGGCGCCTCCCGACTGGCGATGGCAGGATTAAATCCCGTCCTCCACGTGACCGGCCACTAGCACAGTTTTCGCAATTCATTTTATTCATTCATTCATGTAGCTGTCCATGGAGTATCACTATATACCATTCACAACACAAAGTCTTTCAAGAGCTTTAAGGAGCTGATGATTGTAGAGGGGAAGGAAGAGGACGAGAGAGCTGTGCTAGGCAAGGTGGTTACACAAATAACTATATTATAAGGTAGAATGGATAAGTACTGTTAGAGTCTTACACAGCGGTGCTGGAGAGGGCAACGGAGAGGGTCGGAGGACCATCCCAAGTAAGGTTTGTACAGAAAAAGTGGCTTCCAAGCTGGGCCATGAAAGATGCCGGATTCACAGGACTGATGGGGAGGACGTTCCCAGAGAAGGGGAAGAGCAAATGGAAAAGCATGAGGCAAACGTGAGGAGTAAACTATTGGGACAGACCCTGGACTGACTTCATGAGGTATTTGGGAATGTCACAGACCAACACAGAAAGAACCATCCAGCTTGAAGTTAAAAAGGAACACAGTCTGGACCGTGTCTGCTCCCCAGAAAGGGGACAGTGTATGGCCTCACAGGTCAAGGCCGGACGAGAGTATAAGACTTATTAAAATGTCCGAACGATAGGGCGCTTCAAGGAAGACAGTTTACACAAGGTTTTGTTGAGACACCCTGCCAGAACCATTGAAGGGGTAAGGGAAAGCTACACTGACTCACTGATCTCATTGGCTGCCTGAATGAAGGGCAACCCCTTCCTCTCCTGCCGCCCTGCTACCACGTGTCTCTAACTAAACCGCTCAGTCCTACCGTCTCACCCACCAGAATGGGAGCTGCATGAGGACATCCCCTTATCCCTCCTCACCTGCAATATTTTTACTTTATTAATTTGAATACCTAAAAAACTGGATGGGACCTTAGATGGCTAAGCCAATCCGATTCTAATTCTTGGGAGTTGGAATTAAGAAATTCAGAAGAAAACAATCCAATTGAAAAATGGGCAGAAGACCCGAATAGACGCTTCTCCCTCCAAAGAGGACATACATAGGTGGCCAATGACATATGAAAAGATGCTCAATGTCACTAATCATCAGAGAGATGCCAATTAAAACCACAATGAGATATCACCTCACACCTGTCAGAATGGTTATCATCAATAAATCAACAAATGACTAGTGTTGGTGAGGATGTGGAGAAAAGGGAACCCTCAGGCATTGTGGGTAAGAATGCAGACTGGTGCAGCCATTGTAGAAAACAGTATGGAGGGTCATCAAAAAATTCAAAATAGCCCTGACTGGTGTGGCTCAGTGGGATGGGTGTCATCCAGCAAAGCTAAAGGTCACTGGTTCAATCCCGGTCAGGGCACATGCCTGGGTTGCAGGTTCCATCCCCAGTTGGGGGCACATGCTAGAGGCAAAGACCTGCGAGGCCCCGCCCCTTGGGTTCTAGAGCAGAAACGGGACAGACTCCCACTCCCGAGGCCCTGACATAGCTCAGTTCTTCCCATCCTTGGATTCTTGTGAAATGTCTTCTTAGTACATCACGTTTATCCTTTTAGTAATTCCCTCTTTCATGAGATCCCCTTAATTCCTACAACCAAAAGAACCTAATTAAAACACCTTGATTTTGCACCTGCCTTAAAATCTGTTTTATATAATCACACATCACCCAGAAAAAAAAAAACCCAACTCCAAAAATATTCATGAATAAGGTAGATTTTACTGAGTTTCATGAGCACACAAAGGAGAGTTACATTGAATCACACACAGTACAATTTCCTCTAAAAATCCCCTGTCAACTTTATCTTTCTCCAGATGCCCCTGCTCAGGTGGCTACCTCGACCCTTTTTTCTTTCCATTTCCTTCTCAGCTCCCCACCCTATATAAATTCCCTCAACAAAACCAGGGCACACACAAGAACCCACAGCAAACCAAAACTCAGGGCATTTGATTATTAATCGGCCATTCATGGCTACAAAAGCTGAGCCCCAAAGTAGTTGAGCCTCCCCCAAGGCCCCTCAGAGTGAGAGAAAAAGAGAGATTTTCTGCTCCAGTATTCTTCCCATCACCTGTGCTGCTTGACAAGCACCCTACTCCTAGGCAATGCACAAGGAAGTGCTGTGTAATGCAAGCAGGAACATTTCGAGAACACGGGCTCCAGATTCGTGAGCAGCTCGGCGAGATCGGTGCACAACCCTCTCAAACACCTGGCAGCACGCAGTGCCTTAGAACACTTACTCTGACCCATTTTTCATGTGCACCACGTCCCAGGAAGACACAAATGTTGGCCTTCTGATGACATCCTTTTGGGTCTTGGAAGCTATGTTTGTCTGAATCATCCCTTTAGACAGAAAAGAGAAAACAAGAATAAAAGATCAGCCCTGGAAAATGATTTATTGTTACTTTTCGGAGGCTCGTAACACAATTATCCATGTCTGACCTGTAGGTGCATGAATAGTGAAAAGCCTTTTGGATGGAATATGCTCATGACAAAAACTTGGATTTTTCACTGCCCCCTTTTATAAAACCCAGGGAACAATGAGGTAAATGAGCATTTAGCAATTAACCTAATCTTTAAATCAAAGTCAGAAGGTAAAGAAGAGAGCTAGGCTGGCCAGAGAACAAGGTATCATCCATGGAAGCTGCTCTAAACCAGGCATTGATAATTTTATATCATTATATGATGTAATTATCTTGAAGGATTTTATATATATTTTTATATCTTATATAACATAAAAATCTCAACAATTTTTTTCTACATCAAGTGTGAAATGTCATTTTCAATTCATGCATATGGTACATCTAAGTCCGAGCTATAGCCAGAGTGATTGCTTTAAAAAGGAAATCATTGTATATTGCTAGTGACCACTTTGGAAAACAGTCTGGCAGTTTTTTGTAAACATACACTGCCTATGTGATCCACCAATCCCACTCCTTGGTATTTACCCAAGAGAAATGACAACCTATATCCACAAAAAGACCTGCAGCTGAACGTTCCTAGCAGCAACCCAAAGTATACATCAAGAGGCAAATGGACACCCAATCCATGATAGAGCCAAACAATGGCTCAGCAATTCATTGCTATACTCAGCAATGAAATGGGAGGAACTACTATACATGCAGCAACATAGCTGATTCTAAAAAAAGACATTATTCTGAGTGAAAGAAGCCAGCAGTATGCAGACTACACACTCTAAGATTCTATTTGTATGAAGTTCTAGCATAGATCGAACAAATCTATAGCAACAGAAAGCAAATCAGTTGGTGGGGGCAGTGGGGAAGACTCGTAGCTAAAGGGCACAGGGAAGCTTTTGGATGGTTGGGACAGCTCTGTCTTGATTAGGATAGAAGTCACATGCATCTGTCAACATTCATCCAACCGCACACTTAAAATGCATGCATTTCATTGTAGCGATTACGGCTCAGTATAGCAGACGTAAGATGAAAAAAAGCACACATAACAAAAAGAGCAAATCTGATCATGTCACAACTTTCTCCTGATTTTCCAAGCTTCTACATCTGCTTTCATCTCCTACAGACCTTCTTGCTGTTCTGAGAAACCTTAAGGTTGTTTGCAAGTTACGGCTTAAGTGCTAGCCTTCCCTCTCCCAGAGGGCCCTCTGTTCCAGTTTCCTGCTCCCGTAAGAGCAGGCGCTCTCCCAAGACTCCTTCACTCTCCTTCTGCCTCCCTACGGTGCTCCCTCTCTCCATAGCAGTGAGCACTTTCTGAAAGTGCCTGGGTTGCCAACATCTAGAACCGTGCCTGGCATACAGCTGATGCTCTGACACTAGTTTAATGAATGAGGGAAGAGGGAAAAAAAAAAAAAGTAAAACCCTGCAAACTGCTCTGAACTGCTTTCTCTGAAGCAAGTGAACAAAATTACTGGCTAAACTGCTCCTCACTCAGGAACCCAGAACATTGGTTTTCATCTCTCTGCTACCCTTTTACATTGTCAAAATGATAGGCTACCAGCAAAGGAATGACAGACTACCAGCAAAGGAGAAAGAACATTTAGCCCTGGCTGCTGTGGCTCAGTGGATTGAGCATCAGCCTGTGAACCAACAAAGGTCACCAGGTGGATTGCTGGTCAGGGCACATGCCCGGGTTGCGGGCCAGCTCCCCGGCTGTGGGTGTGCGAGAGGCCACCGATTGATGTCTCTCCCCCACATCAACGTTTCCCTCCCTCTCCTTTCCCTCTCTCTAAAAAATAAATAAATAAGAATGTTTAACTTAAGCCACTTTTCATTTCACCATCCGAGAGAAGAGATTTTTATTTTTCTCTATTGCCTTCTAGTCTTGGTCCACCTGCACACATTGCTGTACTTAACACGCAGATTAAATTTTTTTAAATCTCTTCCATTTTAAATACTGTAACATACAAATAGAAAAGTGCAGAAACAGAAATCGGGGGTCCTGCCTTCCCCACTGAACAATATCAGATTTTGCTTTGACTACATAGTTTTTCATAATCAGAATTGTAACATCTACCCAATTCTCCACTGAAATTTAATAACCCAATCTCCGCAGGCACAGTCATACTGGCATACAAACAGTTCCTCCACTTTAGTACTTCATTCAGATATGGCTTCAACAGACATCCGTGCCTGCAGCTTTTTATTTTTCTTCTGAGGAACTGTTCCCTTAGAAAGACTCCTGGGTGCTCACTTCGGCAGCACATGTACCAACGTTGGAACGACACAGAGAAGACTAGCATAGCGAAGGTGACCAGAAAGTCTGTGAAGCGCTTCATATCAAAAAAAAAAGAAAGAAAGGAATGTTCCTGAGAGGAGGAAAGAACAAGTATATTTTAATATCCCTTCATATGTATTGCCAGGTTGCTTTCCAGAAAAGTCGGGATACTGGTCCTCCAAAGCTACACTATAGTAAGTGGTACAGGGCCCAAATTTCAGGAGGTATTTCAAGGACTTGAGCAAGTCTCTTTTTACCTCTTTCCAAGCACCTGCTGAGCTGGTCCTGAAAGATCAAGCAAGTGACCATCTGCAGGACTGTCCCAGGGGTACAGCCTATAGGGCAGCAAGCACATTCCCAGGGAGAGCAGTTGCTGCCCTGATTTCTTACGAAACGCAACAGACGGGTTGGTAGAAGCTGACCGAAGACCTGTGGTGGGGCTCAAGTCCGCGTGGTGGAGGCAGCGTCTTTAGAAAAGGCGGTGGACGAAACAAACCACTGAGCCGGATGTGGGCACCTAGCAGGATCGGAGAGGTTCTCATCCCTGAAGGCGCCCACAGGCCCGAGGTCCCAACTGTATTCCTCGGCACCTGAAAACTCTGCCTCGGCCCAGGAAGCAGCAGCACACCCAGAAACTGAAACTTAGGTGAAGCTGGAAGCAACCTGCAAAGACCACTCTGCCCAATGTCCCCATTTTACAGACGCGGGAACAGAGGCCCAGAGACGCCAGTGCTGCTCCCAAGGGTCACAGTTACTGCGTGTCAGGGCCACGGCGCTGGAGCACAGGTCTTCCGACGGCCACTGGCCCCCACGTCCCGCACTGCTGGTTTTGCTCACGAGAACCTGGATTCTGGGATAAGCATGCCCGTCCCATCCTGCCTGCCGGTCCTGCTCAGACCGATTCCAGTGGCCGGCACGCCTGCCACATGCAAACTCTTACCTTGGAAACTCAGCTCGTAGTTCTGTCGGCCTGCCTGAAACGGCACAATGCTCCTCGGAGAGCACAGGAACAAGGACTCCAGGTACGAAGAGTCAATGCTCGAAATCTGCTGGCTGCCTCCCTAATTTAGGGGAAAAAAAGTAAATGCTTCGTGGTAGGCTTTTAAGAAATCTCTACCAGTATATCTTGTGTAATTTTACCTTTAGCCATGGGATTTAAAGAGGAATGCATCATGTGCCCCAAACCAGATGGTAAAAGCTTCCCTTTGTAGTTTTCTCCATCCTGGGACTAGGAGAGAACAGCCTACCCCACAGAAACTGTACACTTGGTGGCTGCCTGAAAAATGCAGCTCTTTGCCATGATCCTTTTACACCTTCCATAAAATATGAGCCAAGTGTACTACTGAACAACTCAGGACCCACACGGTGAACATCGTGCCTGCCCTGGCTAACAGAATCCAACGCTCTGGCATGAAGGACACCCTGGTGGCCCTGTGAGCCCATCACAGGACGAGAAAGCGGTCAGAGCTGCAGTGAAGGCAGGTGGAATTCCAGCGGATATACTGCTGTCCAAATGTAAATGACCTACTCTTACTCCTCCTCTGCACTGGGGCAGGGGCAGCAAGTAAAACCGACTGAGCCTCCCGTCAGTCTGTGACACTGGAAAAGCACTTGAACTGGCCCCTGGCCAGGGCTATAATAAAAGGGATGAAGAACACCCCCAAAATACAACGGCATAGTGTCTGGTCTCAAGACATTTCTGAGAGGTCTGAACATCGGAATGGGTAGGTGAAAGGACGTATGTTGATTCCAGCAAGACGGTAGGCTGGGCCATGGTCCCACCGCGCCCGCCATGGCGGGGGTGGCAGCGCAGGCGCAGGCTGGATGGCAGCCCCTACTAGCAGGTGCTCCTTCTATTTTTTAAAAATCTTTTATTTATTTTTAGAGAGAGGGGGAGGGAGGGAGAAAGAGAGGGAGAGAAACATTGATGTGTGAGAGACACATCAATCAGTTGCCTCTCAAACGCCCCCAACTCGCCCCCAACTCAGGACCTGGCCCACAACCCAGGCATGTGCCCTGACTGAGAAATCAAACCAGTGACCTTTTGGTTTTCAGGCCGGCGCTCAATCCACTGAGCAACACCAGCCCAGGGCAACTCCCCACATTTAATGGTGAGGAAATACTAGTTCCTCGTGATCTGGAGTGGAGACTACACCCACCCCATGTCCCCTTCCCTGAGGGAATGCTTGTTGGATGTTAGGGGAGGGATGTGGAAATGAAAGCATCCAAGGAAGATGTCCTGGATGGACAGGGGCCTGAACTTGGCCTCTTTAGCCTGGAGAGAAATATGGTGGGGGCTCAACACAGAAAATCTGGGCTATAGAGCCCACCTATATAGAGTAAAATGTCAGTCATGTGACATGGAACTGAATTGTTCATTTTATTTACATTTAATTAAGTTTAAGATAAAATAGCCACCAGTGGCTGGTGGTCGTCACACTGGACAGGACAAGGACACTGAGTCAGGGCTGAGCATCTGGACAGCCTAGCACGGTTCACATTTCACATGGTCCTTCCTCTGGCCCGGCCTCCACACTGTGCTCCAGTTCTGAACGCACGAACGCACGAACGAACGAACGGTAGAGACTTCAATTACTTATTTTCCCAGAAGACCTACATGTACGTCTGTTCCAGGGACCAGGTCTTGGCTTTTGTCCCGTATCTACGTTGCTGCCTTGACCTTTGCTCTCTCGAGCTATGGCTTGCCCTTGCCTTGAGCAGTTCTCCTGGCCACGGTCTCCTGCGCCACCTCGATGGCAGCTTGCACAGCTACTGGGCTTCGCTACCTGCTGGTGAACAGCTTGGAGGCCCTGGACCCGCACCCCAAGCCCATGGCGACCAGGCTCTGTCCCTCTCTCTCCTGCTGCCGCTCCATCTCACAGCGTCACTGCCCACACGCCCGTCCGTCCAGTCCTCACTTCTTCCATCACATCCTCTCTCCGCCTACCATCCACGTCGGTGCAAGTCCTGCTGAAGCACCTTCATCTCTATAAAAAGATATTAATTCTATCTCCCAGACAGTTCAGTGTCAAAGCGTACGTGCCTGCCCTTCGTGGGCAAAAGTTTCCACTCTCCCAGTTCCTGCTGGGGAGGTGCTCACCTGGAACTGTCAGCTGCCCAACTCCTACTAAATACCCAGTTGCAAGAGATACAACCTGTACAGGCCAGTCTGAAGAAAACACATTCTAATCTGTGCACTGGATGAAACCAGGCCACCAAAGAGCTGCAAACTCGGACTGCGACATGCTGAGCTGTGAGAGAAACCGGGCTGCCCACTATGTGTGCACTCAGATCTGCTGGAACCAGCATTTGTACTTTAATTGGATAGCCAACCAGAAAAACACCACAACTGGGGCCTGTTTTCCCTTTTTGTTTTTTTTAAGTAACAGAAGCGCCAACTCAATTTATATAATGATGGTTCTTATTAATATGAGACAGCGTGAATTTATTCACGTCTTCAAGAACATTTCTTATACCAGGCAAGTGCCACAGATTAAACGAACATAACACTTAATGTTTGCAGGTTGTAAATTACATTCTAAAACTCTGCATTTAACACAGACTGAATGCCTCAGGGAGAACTCTGGATTAAACAAGATCTATCAGGAAGTTTCTTGATTTTTATTAGGGAACAGAAATGACAGGACTTGTGTAAGTTTAAATCTCATCTATTCCCTGCTGAGAGTTTTCTTTAGTCTCTGGGACCCTGCTTGTCACTAGAATGCAAATGTTTTCCAACCCCTTTCCTTTATCTTCCTAGAAATTTCCAGCATTTGACACAAGAGCCTTCAAGACCTATAGTTTACCTTTATTTTAACTAAAGCTAATTCGCTTGACTTTATCATTTCTATTTCCACAGGCACCGCACAGAATCGCTTTTAAGAAACCGCACTTTGAAATCATCCTTAGCCTGAACATAAAAAGAACCTGTATAGCCCTGGCCAGGTGTGGCTCAGCTGTTTGGAGTATCATCCTAGACACCAAAAGGCTGAGGGTTCAGTTCCCAGTCAGGGCACGTATGGAAGGCAAATGATCCTGTTTCTCTCTCACATTGATGCCTCTCTGTCTGCCTGTCGAGAGAGAGAGAGAGAGAGAGAGAGAGAGAGAGAGAGAGAGAGACACGTATGGAAGGCAAATGATCCTGTTTCTCTCTCACATTGATGCCTCTCTGTCTGCCTGGAGAGAGAGAGAGAGAGAGAGAAAGAGAGAGAGAGAGAGATCAATAAACACATCCTCAAGTGGGGATTAAAAAAAAATTAGAGGAAAAAAAAAAAAAACCCTTACGAAGGTCAACATCATGGGAGTTTTCACATCAAGACGCTCCAGAGGCCACTGCAGCAAAGAGGAGAGCAACCAGCAAGGGGACCAGACTCCGGGCTCTGAGCCCCTGTCGTGTGTCCTCAGGGCGCCTCCATCATTTTGTACTCACGGAGGCCCTGGGAAAGATGGCCTGATGAGATAGCAGGGCTCTAGCTGAGAACCTCCCTCGCCACAGAACACACAATGTGCTTCCTTTCTCTTTCTCTCTCTCTCTCTTTTTAGGGACCTTAGACAGAAGCTTGGCTTATCTAAACACACCCATCCCCAGTTAGCATGTCCCTACGTGGTTAAGCTTCAAATGTTCCAGGTCCAGTCTTTCAAGTCCCTCTGAACCCAGCCTCTGAGTCCGAGTCGCCATCTATATCAGTCTTCTGATTTTTCGCTCTCGCCTCTCCTCTGGGTGGAAGCAGTAATCTCTGCATATGTATGTACTAATACATAGAAAGCTATCTCAAGGTTCCCCCCAGTCCTTGATAGTGAAAAAAGAGGGACAAGAAACCAACTCATGCCTCTAGTGATTGCGTAAAAACAATTAATAGCCTTGGCCAATAGTTCAGTTGCTTAGAGCATCAACCTCATACGCCAAGGTTGCCGGTTCAATCCCCAGTCAGAGCACATACAAAAAAAATCAACCCATGAATGCATGAACAACTGGAACAAATCGATGTTTCCCTCTCTCTCGCTCCAAAAATCAACTTTAAAGAATTAGAAATAATTAATGTGCTTTTGTTTATGATTGCAATCAGAGTACATACTTACAAGAACAATGTAAATACAGCTGTGTATAATGTCAAAAGCACCTCTTCTTCAACCATGTCCCCTTTCCATGGGCAACCATGGAGGCGTCAAACATTTCAGTAACAACCCAAGAGGAATGCAACTCACCTTCTCTCCGTACTGAACCCAACTGTCAAGTCGACTCCTCCAATACCAAATCCATTTTGTGGTGAAGACACTGTGCGGGTTCATGACAGAGGAAGGCGTGGAGATCCGACGGATGGGATTACAATTACAAGTCATATCCCGGAAATTCAGCTTTAAAGTTCCTAGAGAAATGCTGACGAGAAAAAGTATAAAGTTAACCAAAATGTTTCCCTGACCTCTAGTGTTCTACAGTCCAGGCTTCCCCAACAAAAGCACAGAATTAAAATTGTAGAGCTAAAAGAGGTCTTCAGCCTTTCTTGCTACAGCTGCCAGTCTTACACATGAAAGAGAAAACTCAAACCCAGAGAGGTAATGTAACTTGCCTACCCCATATATTTAATGATGTCATCCATTAAGGATACATTGAGAAATGTATTCTTTCCGTGAAAACTATCCCAAATAAAACTGCCCACAAAAAAACAGGCTCGATGTTAGAAACCAACAGTAGGTAAGGTTTTTCCATCGTAATTATTTAAATAGTTATCGAAAGACCTTTTCGGGGAGCCGACAAGGTCAAAGTTCTTTTCATAACATTAAGATATTATTTGCCTTTTTTACTTGCATGCTCTCGCAGGTGCATAGTAGTTTTCAAGAGGTGACATCACATGTGATTGCACAACAGATTTCCAAAAATATAAAACAATGTCATTCTTCTCAATGAATTTTTTGCTTTGTTTTGGAGAAGTTATTTTTAGTTATACATATCTACAGGTATACCTATATACATATAACTGTGTAATTATACAAATATAGCTATATAAACATTATGTATAGTAACATGTAATGAGCTTAGTATTTTTTAAAGAATCAATGTTTAAATTTTCTCAGTTTTCATTTTTATTATGATAAATAGCTATGATCCACATAAACAGAAGCTCCTTGGGATCCTCAATACATTTTAAGCCTATAGAGGCGGCCCTGAGATCAAAAAGTTTAAGAATTATTGCTCCAAGAAGCACTCCTTGATTGGTGGTTCTCAACCAGGCATGATTTTTGTCCCCCGGGGACATTAGCAATATCTAAAGATATTTTGGTTGGACATCAACTCAGCACGAGTGCTACTAAACCACCCGCCTCCAAAATAACAAATAATTCTCTGGCCCCCAAGTACAGTGCTTAGGTTAAGAAGTCTGCTTCAGATTTACCTAGAGGGTGCAAAAAAAAAAAAAAATCACTACAAACAAGAAAATAGCTGATGCCACCCTCTAGTGGCAAAATGCAGCAATAGAATCTCCACCAAAAATTCACTGAACTGGCGGGTGATGAAACATGTAATTTTCCTTATTAAACTAGGAAACATCGTATAAATATGGTCCTATGTGGTATCACCCATTTCGGTCCTGACAGAAACAAAATATCAAATAGCCTCTAGATACCTCTAGGAGAGAGAAAATAGCAAACATAAAAGCAGCTATAAAACACTAAAGTATACAACACAAGTCTGCACTTGTTAGAACTCTGAAATTGCTCAAATCATGCTCTGAAACTACGGCATTAAGCCAAAGGCTCTTTTGAGGTCATCATTTTGCACTTTTAATAGGCCTACCATGAGCTGAGGAATATAAACCGACCTCTGCATATTTGTCATTGTGTCATGCAGATAAACACAAATGTTAACTAAACAAACAATCGTGTCACTGTTTATTTTGTGTGAGTCAGCAAATATTCTCACAGTCCCTGGTACTATCCAGACTCTGCGTGACTTCAAATCTACCCAGCCTTTTTTTTTTTTTCTTTTTCATTAACTCAGTAGGAGTTTGCTGTTTTTATCTCAGACTTCCACAACTTGAACCGGATTTTGAAGGGAAACTTTTTTCTACTTCCCAGAAGCCTAGCATTATGCTTTCCTTTGATAATGTTGTGGATCCCACAAGCCACAGTCCTGCCACCAACTTACACGCAGATTCTGGGGTCACAATAGGCCTCCTCAATTTTCTCCATGGGCTGGAGGTCCATCCAGTTGTTTGCAATTGACATCTGCCACCGGTAGGGCAGGTGGAAGTGAACTTTGTTGCAGCTTTCTGCAAAGACAGAGAGGAGGGCTGAGGGTGGGCTGAGTGGGTGTTCCATCAAGGCCTGCCACTCCTACCAGGCCAGACCCGCGCGCAAGGCACGCTGTGCCTACACCTTTGCTCACGCCAGCTGCTGCCCACATTGCCCCATAGCCACATCTCCAGTTCCTTTATTGCCCACAGACTCTTCAGAAAACAGGAATTCCCCACTCCCCAAAAAGTCACTTCACTCCCATGAAAATCGGATGTCGTTATAAATTTACGGTTACCCTTCCTGTTCCTCTCGAGTGGACCTACGGAGACAAAGTGATCCCCAGCATGGGCCACTGCTTGTCTTTCCTTGAAACCTTGGCCTACAATTCGTCTCTTCCAGAAAGATTCCCTCACTCATCTCACTCTGCTCTGATTGGATTTGTATTTTGCGTTCCCTGCGCCAGCAGCGCTCAGTTCCCAGTTTGTGCATTTTTACTTATGTATTTAGTTATTTTCTGCAGTGTTCTCATATGGAGATGTTTTTGATGTCCTACCGTAGTTACAAACTCATTGAAGGGCAGTTTACGTCATTGCTTAGCTTGTATCTCCCTTGAGGGACGCATCGGGCTGGGCACACAGAAGATGGCCCTTCAGCCAGTGCTCGCTGAATGATGAATTAATGTTACATAATACAGGAACACAAAAGAGTTCTGTTTTTCATAATGTTCATTATGTTATGTTTAAACGTTCTGTATGTTTGGACATTTTGAAATGGACCATTTGGACTCTTTTAAAACAAAAAGAGGCAGATTTAGACATCAAAGGGAAACCCACAGGCCAGCTAATGCCTGAGATTTGGCTCATTCAAAAGTGTATAACCATTATTTCATTATAGTTCATACTAGAATGGCTGCTATTAAAAAAAACAAAAACAGAAAACAGCAAGTGTTGCTGTGATACGGAGAAACTGGAACCCTTGCGCACTGCTGGTAAAAGTGAACAATGCTGTAGCTGCTGTGGAAAGTGGCGTGGCAATTACTCAGAAATATGAAACATAGAATCACCATGTGGTCCAGCATTTCCACCTCTGGGGACATATCCCAAAGAATTAAAAGCAAGGTCTCAAACAGACACTTGTACACCCATGTTCCTAGCAGCATTATTCACAATAGCCAAAAGGTAGAAGCGACCCAAGTGTCCATCACTGGATGGATAAGCACAATGTGATATATACATACAAGAGAAAATTATTGAGCCTTAAAAAGAAATATTGAGCCCTGGCTGGTGTGGCTCAGTGGATTGAGCACCAGCCTGCGAACCAAAGGGTGGCTGGTTCGATTCCCAGTCAGGGCACATGCCTGGGTTGTGGGCCAGGTCCCCAGTTTGGGATGTGTGAGAGGCAACCAGTTGATGTCCCTCTCACACATAGATGCCTCTCTCTCCTTCTCCCTCCCTTCCCATCTCTCTAAAAATAAATAAATAAAATCTTTTTTAAAATATTTAAGCTAAAGTCTTTTGACTTAGCAAGCACAGGGCACCGTTCTGATGACAGGGCTGGAATGGAACAGCTAATTCCCCGTGGAGCAGGGGGCTGAGCAGGGCCTGCTGCTGCGAGACCAACCTCGTTATCGCCTTATAAAAAAACAACAACAGGAGAAAAGCCACCTTGCTTCCTAGTATTAAGAAATTTTCTAGCTATGAAGAATCCATGGGAAGATGGAGGCATAAGTAAACACGGCTCACCTCCTCACACAGCCACAGAAAAATTACAACTAAAACATGGAACAACCATCACTCAGAACTGCCAGAAAAATCAAGCTGTATGGAAGTCCAACAGCTAAGGAATTAAAAAAACCACATTTATCCAGACAGGTAGGGGGGACGAAGGAATGGAGGGAAAGAAGGGCTAAGGCGCCCCATCCCACCTATGGGCCCACCATGCAACTCTCCCATCCATCCTGGTAACAGTGGGTTTTCCATACAAATGTCTGGGCTAGATGCAGGCTTCAGATCTTCCTAAATCTGCTCAAATAAGCAACAGCTGAGCCCAGTCTCACCAACCCCTACCTGTACCTCTCCTCGCTGAGTGACCCCAGGCCTGGCACTAGCAGCAGCCGTCGGCAGATCACTTTACAGCTTATGTCAAGGGGGCCCAGACAGAACACAGGTGGGGTCTTGACCTGGGCCTGCACCACCTGAAAACCCCAAAGCCTGTGCACCCAGTGGACAATAACAGACCACATTGGAGCACCTCCCAAGCACCTCCACAAGCGATGGAGGGAGGTGGTTGCTGGTCAGTCCTGCCAGCTGACTGGCCTGGGTAAATCCACCCCACTGACCTGCTGACAGCAATCAAGACTCACCTACAAGAGGAGGGTGTCCTCAGCCTACACAGAGGGAGCACCTTGAGTACACAGCTTGGGTGACAGGGGAGGCTGTGCCACTGGACCCCACAGGACACCTACTACATTAGGCTACACTGCCAAGACACAGAGTCAAAGCAGCTCTACCTAATACATAGAAACAAACACAGGGAGGCTGCCAAAATGAGAAGACAAAGAAACATGGCCCAAATGAAAGAACAGAACTCCAGAAAAAAGAACTAAACAAAATGGAGATACGCAATCTATTAGATGTAAATTTCAAAACACTAGTTATAAGGATGCTCAAGGAACTCAGTGGGTAGGTACTTCAACAGCATAAAAAAGACCCAGGCAGAAGTGAAGGATATACTAACTGAAATAAAGAACAATTTACAGGGAATCAACAACAGAGTGGATGAAGCCAAAGATCAAATCAATGACTTGGAACATAAGGAAGAAAAAGACATCCAATCAGTACAGCAAGAAAAAAAAAGAATTCAAAAAAATCAAGGTGTAAGGAGCTTCTGGGACAACTTCAAACGTTCCAACATTCACATCAGATGGAGAAGAGAAAGAGCAAGGAACTGGAAACCTATTTGAAAGAATAATAAAAGAAAACTTCCCTAATTTGGTGAAAGAAATAAAATAAATATACAAGTCCAGGAAGCACAGAGAGTCCCAAACAAGATGGATGTAAAGAGGACCACACCAAGACATATCATAATTAAAATGCCAAAGGTTAAAGATAAGGAAAGAATCTTAAAGGCAGCAAGAGGAAAGCAAAGAGTTACCTACAAAGGAGTTCCCATGAGACTGTCAACTGATTTCTCAAAAGAAATTTTGCAGGCAAGGAGGGACTAGCAAGAAGCATTCAAAGTGATGAAATCTTAGATTACTCTATCCACCAAAGCTATCATTTAAAATCAAAGGGGAGATAAAGTGCTTCCCAGACAAGGTAAAGCTAAGGAGTTCATCATCACCAAGCCATTATTATATGAAATGTTAAAGGGACTGACTTAAGAAAAAGAAGATCAAAACTGGGAACATTAAAATGGCAACAAATACATAACTGTCAAAAATTGAATCTAAAAAACAAAGTAAGCCAACATGCAAAAGAGAATCAGAATCACAGATATGGAAAACATTGGGAGGGTAGAGAGTGGGGAGGGAGGTCGGGGGTGATGGGAGGAAGGCACAGAAACTAAGAAGTACAAATTGGTAGTTACAGAATCGACAGAGGGATGTGAAGAGCAGGTACAGGAAATGAAGTAGGCAAGGAACTTACATGCATGATCCATGGACATGAACACAGGAGTGGGGACCGCCAGAGGGAGTCGGGGTGCTGGGTAAGGGTGGATAAAGGTGGGAAAATTGGGACAACTGTAATAGCATAATCAATTTTTAAAAAATTTTAAAAAGAGAGAGAGAAAACACAGGGTGGAGTCCTCCTTTTCAGACACAAGGCGAATGAGTCTAAAACCACTAAGTGATCAAGCCAATGAAATTAGATATAATGTCCAAGCCTGGGACTGAGGTAGAAAGGTGAGACAGTGACGTAAGAGTGAGAACACAGGTATTTGTCCCAAGCACAGTCCCACGGGAATCATTTCTGTAGGGATTCTGGTGGGAGGTGACAGTGACCAGATGCAGCTCTTCAACCAGAATGACAAACAGACCACTGGTCACGTGGAGAACAAGTCTCTTCAGTAACCACAGCCCAGAAGAGAGACAATGCCTAACTAATGACAGGAAATGAAATTGGAAATGAGGCTGCTAGGATTCCTTTGTTTTCTGAATTTGTTGTTTGTTTGCTTGCTTTCAGTACATGAAAAGATGGGTCCGTAATTAAGTATAATAGTTCACCTAAAACTTAACTGCGAAAGAACAAAGTATAATGTCATGCATTGGTTAAGAACACAGGCAGGCTGGACAGATTACTGTCAAATACCCAACCTGGCCACTGGTGTATGTAAGGTCTCAGTATTTCCATGCCTCCAGTTTCCACATCTGTGAAATGAGTTAGCGACAGAACCTACTACTAGGATCGATATAAAGTGTAAAGAAGATGCATGTAAAGTTCTTAGCATCATGTCTGATGTATAGCAAATGCTCAGTAAATGTTAGCCATATTACTCGTAATAGTTTCTGCTTCAAGAAAGACCTTAAGTTACTCACTAAGTTGACAACACTTATTCAGATGGTCAAGACAAATTTCCTTTGAGCCATGATCATCCTTGGTACTTGTGACGTTGGACATGGAATCTGTAAGACAAAAGAGAATGCATGTATGCTGATTTTAATGTTTAAACCAAAACCAAGCTACCTGATCTCACAGTGGGAAAGAATATCTGAAACTGGGCCATGGTCAAGAAAAACTCTGATTGATGGACTTCTTACGACAAGCCTTCCATAAAGGCAAACACGAACATTAGGGTGTGTAAGAGTTATGTTGATTTCTTAAACCACGGTCCAACTATTCCTGTTCTCAATGAATGTAGCAGTTTATTCTATACTCTGTCACTGGTTGGTCTGTCCATCTTCTACGTCAGTCTCCTTGCCAGTGCCACCCCTTCACCCAAACCGGCTAAATCGTGTGCACTTTAATAACCGCTGGGGAATATCCAAAGAGAAACCACGAGCCACCGCTGTCCTGCTGCAGACACAAGACACGGGGACCCCTCTGTCCTTCAGTGACTTACTCAGGTCACAGCCTGGGGTCCTCCTTGCAGGCTCCCTGGCAGGGGTGACAGAGATCTGAGGGGAGTTCTGGCCATAGGCCTCACAGGCTGTGGCTCTACTGTGGGAGGATGGCGTCACAGGCGGCGCGCTGGGCAGAGCGCTGACTTGTGTGAGGCCCACGGTCTCCCCAGGGCTGGGCAGGTCCTGGGTTCTCAGACTCTGACTTCTGGAGTGCACCACATCGTTATACACTCTGGTTGCCGATGTTAAGCCAAAACCAGTCGCACCCGTAGTTTCATACGCAACTTTACTAGGGCCATTTGGTGCCACGTGGACTGACTCACTAGCCCAAAATGCCTTCTCTCTGTGTTTGCCGTCATCTGGAATGATGGTGCTGAGATTCGGGTAAGTAGTTCCACTTTCCTGATTCCGAGGTAACGATTTTTCTCTCTGTGTGCTAGCTGCTGTTCGGTAACTTAGAGAACTCATGGAAGTGATATCTGTGGCCATTCCATCAAAATTATTATTAAAACGCGGGAAATGCTGGACATCTTGAGTCCCGCTTCTGCCCTCGACATTCACGAGGCCCGAGGGATGTATGCCCGTGCTTTTACTGGTGGTTACGGTCTTACCACTGGTGTCTCGGTCATTCAGCCAGGGCGTGGGGGCCTTCCAGTTGGAAGCTGACGTGAAATCAGAGGTGGGCTGAGTGCTGCCGTGGTTGCCATAAAACAGGCTCTCCAGGTTGCCATTCTCCGAAAACCTCTGGCTTCCTCCCACTTGGCCGGCTCCTCCCACATGGGCAGCCTTCGAGGAGGCAGAGGAAGGCGGAGGGCCATCTTGGCTTCCCAAATGCCTGAACTTGAAGGTGAGATCCTCAACGGGCACATCATCCAGGGGAGATCTGCGGCCTATTCGATCGGGACTAGGTGTGCCAGACCTCTCCGTCGAAGCTGGGGACGGTGGGAGAAATTCCTGACACTGAAAGAATCGATCTCGACTCTTGCTTCTACCTCTGTACACCGGGTTGCCTCTACCTCTACGCGCAGCGTCCCGATGATGTGAGGGAGGACCTGGGAAGAGACAAAAACAATGAAAAGGGAGGTTAACACGATGGAGTTCTTACCACTGTTCCTCCTCAGCTGTTCCAGGTTTGCTATGAAATGACCTGTCCTGCTACGTACAATGTGTGAAACCCCTGAGCAGGGTGGTTATGGCAATGGAGGAATCCTGCCGCTATGTTAGCGCCGCAGAAAACAGTTCACCCTGGCTCTTCTCAGCTTCTCTCCTGGGACTCAGAAGTAGCCCCCAAGCCCCCAGACTCTTAGGTGGGGCTGCCCACCACCGCTATGGTGAATGGAGAGACAGACTAGTGCAAACTAGGCAGCATTTTCCAGAAATCATCTAGATTTTGCCCATACTGCAAGACCGGTGGACCTAACAAGTTAAGAATTCACAAAACTTAAAACAAACCAAAAAAATGAAATGAGAGTGTAATGGTCAAAATTTCGCTTCACCTAGAAAATTTCCCTAAGTTCTTCAACTACCCCACACCCCCTCCCACATGCCCAAACTTAAGTGACCAAGAGCAACAAGAACTGGCCCATCTCTAGAAACTTGAGTCAGGAGGGAGGTGTGACACGCATGTGTATCTGTGAGTGTGTGTCAAGTGTGCGCACCCGTACACTTGCCATGCGTACACGTGGGAGGCACGTGTGTTATAGTTGGTGCAAGATGTACCCATACGTAAGATATGCGTGCGCAGTGTGCGGTGTGTGCCGTGTGTGTTGAATGCGTCTGTGCGTGGTGTATGAGTTGTGTTAGTGTGTGTGGGGAAAGGGGGGAAGAGAAGTCCTTTCTCTTCCAAACCCAGGGGGCAGCAGCAACATAGTAAAAGTAACCATCCTCCTCCTGTCAACAAACTAGTTAGTTAAGTAGATTAACTAGAAGTGATACTAAAGATCGCTCTCGCATACAACAAATTCCCATTGGCATAGATACAGAGAACAGACCAACAGCTGCCAGAGGGCAGGGGGTGTTGGGGAACCGGGTGAAAACATTTCTCTTTATCTCTGTCTACCCTATTCATTCGAAAGCAGAAAGCGCCCACCTCTGAGCCCGTGCTTCTTCCGGCTGTGCTTGTTGTTGCAGATGTCCTGGATGTTTTGCACCACGTCCGGGCCCAGTCCATGCTCCCTCATGATCGCCAGCACCTTTCTGTCCATCAGGTTATGAGACCTGAGGCAGTTGGCAAAACTACAATTCCCGCGCGTGAAGTGTTCACAGATGTGGAGCCTTTCACACGGTGGCTGCTTGTCACAGATCTTTCCTCGACCTTCTCCCTTATAACTTTTGCATATCTACAGAAGAGGGAACAAGAGCCAGAGGAAAACACTTTTCTTTATCTACCACACATCCAGTAAGGAAAGTTTGGCTGTACAAAAATTTCAGAAGCAAGCAGGGATCTACCTAAGGACAACAATGCACGCACATTCCACAGTCTTTAATGAATTACATTCAATCGATCATGTATTTGGGGCCAAAGAGGCCTGAGGACTCACTAAAAGAAACATGAATTTGAAAATGCTTCAGAAGAATGAAAGTAAGATTGGCCAGCTACAGAGAGGATGAAACAGGACCCCGAGTGAGCCCTATATTATAAGGGCACCCCAAACAGGAAGGCTCGCTTTTGGGTATCAACTCATTCGGCAATTAAAGGACAGGTTGGTCTTACCTGAAACTGTTGAAAACCCAGAATCTAGTCTCTGCTAGGCAGAATGTGGCAATGTTTCTCAAAAGATCAACCAACAAAGATCATTTTTATATATCTATGTAAATACACATATCTACGCATCTAGCTTTACGGAGATGTAGTTCTTGCTGAAAGGAGGGCAGAAGAAATATTGTTATGCCTAAGGCCAGATCATGTGATGCAGGAGTAGAAGACATTAGTTTAAAAGTCTGCAGACCTAGCCCTGGCAGGATAACTCAGTTGGTTGGCGTGTCATCCCTTAACACCAAAAGGCTGCAGGTTCGATTCCCAGTCAGGGCACATACCTAGGTTGCAGCTTCCATCCCAGTCCGCCAGCATACAGGAGGCAACCAATCAATGTTTCTGTTTCTCTCTCTCCCCTCCCCAGCCCTATTCCAATGTTTCTCTCTCCCTCCCCCCACCCCGCCCCATTCTTCTCTCTCTAAAATCAATAAACATACCCTCAGGTAAGGATTAAAAAATAAAAATAAATAAAAAAATCAAAGCCTGCAGACCTAGAACCACCTCACTTGAATAACTTACTCCCAGCCTCTGTTTCCTTTGCTGTAAAAGACCTAAACCACACGGTTAAGCAGATTTAATACTAAAATATGTGAATGTCTTGTACAAAATATAAAATGTAATGCAAATGTTTGAATCATCACCTGAAGAATCTGAAAGATCAAAACATTTTGTAAGTTGTTTCCATAGACTCTGAGCAAACCAGATCAACATCGTTCCCTGTGACTTATCCAGGTGGCAAAGACAGGGATTTAGATTCTGGCCACCACAATTTCGTCACACAGACAACCTCTAAACCGGATTCGAATAGGTGTCGCTACAGGGCCTATTATCCGGATTCTGATTCCAGACCTGCAGTTCTCCACAGGTGGTCCCTCCACCAGCAGCATCAACCCCATCAGAAACTTATGAGAAATTCAAACCCATATCTGGAGTCAGAGCCACCGAACGTGGGGCCCCACGTCACGTGTTTTAACAAACCCTCCAGGTGGTTCACACTAAAGCCAGAGAACTGGTATCCGAGAGGCACTAGCGAAGAAAGGACAATTAGCAACTCCACAAATGATCCTCTAACCTTCCTATTACCACACAGATGTTTAGTTACAAACGCTTCTGGCCTTACCTAGACCGGAACAAAGGAAAGCATTTCTTCCTTTAATGAGTACATTTCAGTTTCACAAGTTTATATGCCAGGAAGTCAGGTTTGTCTGGTACTTTAAGGTTCTAAAAAAGTATGAACGCTTTTTGTTTTTTAGGGCAGGAAGTGTATCATGTCCACTGCCAACTCCAAGACGTAAGTCAGTGCCTACCACTTGCCAGCGCTCCTCCGTGCAGTTGAACAAATGCAAGATAAACAATAACTGAAGTGAGGCCCAGTCAAATTAAATGCTTTGTCCAAGATCACAAGGGTAGTTAGTGGCAGAGTTAAGACTTTGAGACATGGAAGGACCATCCTTGACCAGCTTTGCTTGAAAAGAGCAGAACCTGGCTGAGCTCCTCCTGCTAAAACCCTACAAAAATATCTTGCTCGCCCTGACCAATGTTGCTCAGTTTTTTGGGCATTCTCCTGCGGAGCAAAAGGTCGCTAGTTGATTCCCAGTCTGGGCACATACAAGAAGCAACCGTTTTGTTTCTCTTTCACATAAATGTTTCTCTCCCTCTTTTTCTCCCTCCCTTCCCCCCTCTCTAAAAAATAAATTTTAAAAATCTTTAAAAATTTTTTTTGCTCTATTCTCCCAGCATTTTTGAAGACATGCTTATGCTAAAAATGTTCTGGTCAATTCAACACTAAATTAACCAGCTCCTCAGACTTCTAAAGTTCAGAGAGCAGGGCAGTCTCCCAGTTTGTGATCTTAACCCTAACGGGCGGTAAATGGCAATTTAATTATTAGCTCAAAATAAACTTCAGGCATGAACCACCCCACCCCACCCATTAATCATGAGTTCCAAACTCTTAAAGAGGAAAGAGAGGGTCAGATGATACTGCCTCCTCCTGTGGGTTCTCTGTGTGATAAAAGGATGACAAGAGCTTCCCCCCAAGACGGTGTTTTGTCCACGGGCTTTTCCGGGACCCTTCAACAGCACCTTCTGGTAGGTTCTTAATTGCCAATTAAGAGAAGGAAGGAAGGACCCCAGAGAAAGAAGAGCAGCCACTCTGCTCCTTCTACAGGGACTTGAAATAAGAAGTCCTGGGTAGGTTTTGGAGAACTGAAGCAGAGGTCAGGCCTTGATGAGCGACCTTTCCAAACCTCCACGTTTAACACTAGACTACGGGTGGACCACAAGTCAACGTTTTTCTCAATGTCGCAAGTCTTCATCTCACCATTCCTTCACATGAAAGGGAAGGAAGGGGATGCTTGTTTGCCAACGGGACCGTTACCCAGATTGGTAAGGCATCTCCCCATGCGGGGAGCTGGGCTGGGGGCTGAGGTGCTGGCACACAGGCCGAGGGCCACAGCTACCCGAAGACAAGACCTCGAAACCCTGGGCTCCTGGAAAGAGAGACAAATCCAAGCACCTAGATGAAAGAATGCACAGAGTGGGGACAGGGAATGGGATGCATGTGCCTTCCCTCTTCCTCCTCCCCAAACAAATTTTTATAGGGCGCCTTGCACGTCTCTCTCCTGAGCTCAGTGGTCAGCTCAAAAACACCCCTCCTGTCCTAAGTTTTTAAAATTCTCAGGGAAGCACAGAGGGCTTAGAGTTTAAAAGTATTTAACCCTCCAGAGGCCCCTAACAGTTATCTGGTCATGTATAATGGCCTATCTGGATTTCAGCTTTGCTTATCTTATCTCCATCCCTTCCCCCCACTCCCCTTGGCCCTTCTATTCTGTTTTTGTGCCTCTCCTTCCGTGTGAGGCTAACTTCTCTACTCAAAGATTTTCCGTAGGTCAGATACCATTCTGTGAACAGCATCCTCTGATTTCCAAGTCAACATTTCTTATGGATGAGACTGTTACTTACCTGCCATTGTCCCTATCTTTCTTCCAGTGTCAGGCGCTCCCAAGTTTTAGCTGGACACAGGATGATCCAGACAGAAACTATCTTTCCCAGCCTCCCTTCCAGTTAAGTGTGGCCACGTGATAAGCTCTGACCAGTGAGATGGGAGCAGATGTGGTGAATACAATGTACAGGTTGCATCTTTTAAAACAGAAACTGCTTGCCTTCCATTTACTTCTATTTGCTGACCGCTGGACTACCTGCCTGCCTACACCTAGGCAAGACCAAAAGTTGGCAAACTTTTTCTGTAATGGACCATAAAGCAAATAAACATTTTAGGCTTTACAGACCATTTGGTCTCTGTTTCAACTACTCAGCTCGCACTTGTATCAAGACAGCAACAAGAGGCAATATGTAAATGAATGAGTATGATGGTGTTTCAATAAAACTTTATTTATAAAAAGAGATGGCAGGCCAATTTGGTTCATAGGCTGTCACCGGATGACTGCTGATCCAGACCATCAGGTAATAGCGAAATGAAATTCTATTTTATTTGAATCACTACATTTTGGGGTCTCCTTGTTACAACAGCTTGGCCTGTAACCTCACCCAATATACCCAGCCATTTTTCCAAAACCTTCATTCAAAGCTCACCTCTTCCAGGAGGCCACCATGGTGTAAAGAATCAATTAGTCCTATCACTACATCTTCAGATCGCACTTGCTCACTTGGGGCTCCCTAGCAGCCTAGGCGAGGAGGCATTCCAGACTCAAATTCTTACAAAACTTCAAACAGGAAGGAAAGTGCTGGAATCTCTTGGGTCACTCAGTAACACCCACTTGTTGGTGTTGGCCCCCAGGTACTAACTTTGAGTTTTTCCTGCTTCTACTCCCACACATCCATGACACAACACTGCCAATTACATATTCTTCCTGCTTCACAAAATCCGAGGAATCATGACTTACCTCAGGCATAAAAAACGGGTCATTCTGGATGAGAAGCACTGCTAACTCTTCCTTGTTCAGTCCAGAGATCTGATGTTGTTCCAGGATTTTAAAGTTCTCTTCTGAGAGAATGTTGTGAGAGTATTTGCATAAGCTCCTGAAAGAAAATGACAGCTATGAGTATTTCCAACAGAAAGAAAGAAGAAAGAAATCATCCAGCAAACTTTCAGTCATCAAAGATCAAGATGCACAGCCTTTGATTATTAATACAGATTGGTCCTGCTTAATGAATACACTTTAAAAATACAGACTGATAAACACCTAGATTGGGGGCTGTGTTTTTTTCACGAATTATACACATCTATACTTTACATTACTGCAATACTTCTTTAAACAGTATCTCATCTAGTACACATTAATAGTGTGGGAAGAGAAAAAAGCAAAGAAACTGAAACCAATTTATTAGAAATCATTGGCCACTGACAAAGAAAAATTAGGATAACACATCTGTGGACTGACGATCAAGTCGATGAGAAACCAGAATTCCACTTATCAAAGATTTTAATTATCAGAAATTGCTCATTGCTTCTTCATCTTATCTACCTGTACATATAACTGTATGATTTATGACTGCAAAGGAATAGAACAAGTTCTTAATTGTTTACTTCAAACAACTCTACACAAAGGGCTAAAAATACCCTTCATGTTAAGGCGTTGATAATTTAGGGCAACATTAGCCCCAACAGAAGTTTCTATGATGGTGGCATTGTTCTCTCATCTGAACTTTCCAAGATATAAGCCCAAATGGCTCCTGAGCACTTAAAACAGAGCTAGTAAAACCTGGGAACCGAATTTTCTCTTTTACTTTAATTAACTTAAATTTGAATAGCCACGCAGGACTAGTGGCTACCAGGCTACCATACAGAACGTTAGACCTTTGCTCTCCAAAGGCCGTGGGAGAACCAGCAGCATGACATTTACCTGAGAGCTTAATTTAGAATCGCTGGCCCTACCTCAGTCCTGCTGAATCAAAATCCACCTGTTTCCACAATACCCCCAAGTGATTTAATCACATTAAGGTCCAAGATGTACTGATTTAGATCACTGAGAAGTCCTGAGGGCTCTCAATGTCCTCATCAGACAGACAGGATTTGATAGTTACCAATGTCCACATAACAAACTCATCTCACTTTTTAACAGACATATGCCACCTAAGGCACTGTCGAAGTCCTCAAATTCATTATTTTAACAGTTATTACTGTGATGGGATATCCGTATTTTCCAGTTTGCACAATGATCATCAAACTGTCAGGTGATTAGGTAATGGCCAGATTTTCACTATATAAATAGTGCAGCTACCATTACTTTTGTACAAATAACCTTCCTTTCTGTCTGTTCTTTGACTGGGATTTATTCCTTTGGGAGCGTTCCCCAAAGGACACAATTATTTTCACGGCAGCTTGTGTTTCTCCACAAAACATACCTATGTGAGAGCGTGATTATTTCTCCACAAGCACGTTAACACTGGGTTTTATTATTTTGCTACTTCAGTAGGTATGAAATGCTTGTATTTTTAACTTGCGCTTAATAAGTAAATCTCTCCATTTATTTAAGTCTTGTTCCATTTTCATTATTGAGGATTAAAATCTTTCTTTTAATAGTTCTTTCACTGCCTAAATATTAAACCTTTATATGTTGCCACTATTATTTTTTTGTTCACTGTTACTGGTAAACAGAAATGCAACTGATTTTGCAAATTATCTTACTGAAATTGATCATTTGTTTTTAAATGTAAACATCTAAGAATTAATTTTTGAAAGCCATTTATTCACATGCTGCTGGCTGTGGGAAGGCAATTCTGAAGCCTCCAGGAATTGCCTTCAGATCCAGCTGTGGAGCCTCATGAGAAAAATCAGAGTCAACACGGTGTCCGCCACCTTGAAACGCAGCCGGCCTCCCACGCACCTTGCTTCATGCAGGAGTCAAGGGCAGCTGGTCAGGCTCTGCCTGGCAACAGCTCCGTCCCAGCCACGTTCTCAGGCGGGCCTTCTCATGCTTTCTGCACCAGGCGGCCCCACTTTGGTGTTTCTGGAACCCCCCGCCCCAATAAGGCTGACCTCAGCTCTCCACTGGCTTTTGGGTTCTGCGCTTTCAGATAACTGCTCCCCAGCAGACCCCACCCCCCAGAGCCCTCGGCAGCTGGGCTAAGACTCGATCTTATCCCTCACCCAAGCTCCATGGGAGGGGGGATCTGCAGAGAACCTACAGCAGGAAGGGCCCAGCCTCCAGCCCAAAACAAAGCCCTTCCACGGCAGCCTCGCCAGATGCATGTGAGCCTTATGACCTCGTAAGGCATCTCACACCGATGGCCGTGGTCATGAATGATCCTCTGGATACAGAGCTGGAAATGACCTCGTTGAAACACCCCACCACTAGCTAGACAGGTTCTGCCCTTCAGTGCCAAGACATTTGTCAAGTGTTAATCAGAGGGAATTAAGAATCTTGGCCTTTCCTTTAGCTCCAATCCAGATACCCTGAACATGGAGCCAAGACTATGGCACCTCTCCTGTGGCCAAATTAGGGTCATAGAAGAGGACCCAGGCCTCCCCAGGTCCCAGAGAGATGCAGCTCTGGTCATGCCCGTGCCTTTCCTGTCCTCACCGAGGAGCGGGGCACTCGCAAGGCGCCTGAAGTCATTATTTCCTCTAAATAACTAAAGGCAGCCAGGCAGGCAGCCTAACATGGGGATCCCTCTGCCTGGAACCCCAAGCGTCCAGGCTTCTCCCAAGCCCACCCAAGACATTCATGCCTGAGGAGGAGCTCCCCACACCCCCTGCACACGCTGCACTGGCGGGGACCCCGAGGCTGCCTGGCTGAGGACCTAGTTTCACTTCTCAGCTCCCTTGTCCATCCCCAGGCAAGCTGTTCACTCCCCCAGATTCTGTGGCACTCACTTTGAACCCTGCGTCAGCCTGCAGCATCTATGTCTGGCTGTGGTTTCTGACCTGCAGCCCCCTCCGTGGGAGGCCCTGCTCCCTTTTCCCCCTCCCTGCTCCCTTTTCCCACATTCCTTAAACTTCTCCCAGCTTCTCAGAGGTTTTCTTTTTTGCCCTAATTTCAGCATATTGATCAGCCGGGGCGTGGGGGGGCCAGTTTGTGCTCACCCATTTGGGGATAAGACCAGAAGTACAGAAACTAACATTTATTACATATTTACTAAGGGACAGGAACTTTGCATCTGTCATTTAATTTAGTCGTCACAATAATCCACTAAGGTAACCGTTTGGTTTTTTCTTTGGGAAACTGAGGCTGGGCAAAATGAGAATTCAAAGATGACTCAAATAAAAGGCTGATCTGATAACTGAACCCAGGTCTCAAAACACAAACAAAACCCTCATCTGGAAAAACAAAAACAGACATCTGAAACTTTTCCAAATCAGAAAGAAAGAAAGAGGGAAAAAAAAAGCCATTCTGGATTATTGATGCCACTGTTCCCCTGACTAAATGGAAAACTGAGAGCAGAGTCCAAGGAGAGAGAATGTGAGCAAACCACATAAACAGTGTCACAGGGACACTGCACACGACAGAAACTATTTCCTGTGACTGGCGTTAAGGAGACCAGCTCGGCAGCACCGAGCACAGTTAGGGGCTGACGCCTCCATGTGTAGGCTCAAGGTGGCAGACGCTTCCTTTCCACTTTCTCCTGATGCTTTGTCCCAGCTCCAGCTCCCTAATATTGGTCAGGAGGCTTAAGCCAAGAAATGGTGTGAAATTCTCCCATAGCTCCTTGGGGTTCTCTAAGCCCCTGACTCTCAAAGTGAGGTCCCTGGACAGGCATCACCTGGGAGATTGTGGGAAATGCAAATTCCCAGGCCGCAGCCCAGACCTAGAGGGTGAGTCTCAGACTTCTGTCTAGAGGGTTTGTTGTAACACAGACTGCTGGGCCCCCCTCCAGGGTCTCAGCAGCGGGCCAGGGCAGAAGGGGCTGGGGATTTGCAATTCTAACGAGCTCCTGGGAGATGCTGAGGTTGCTGGGCGGGTCAGTACTAGGTTCAGGGTGGCCTTCTCCAGCAGAGAACCAGGGTCCGGTCCGGTCCGCAGGAGGCTGGTTTGTAGCCACAGGACTCCCCAAGTCCTGGCACAGTCAACAGCTCGCCTACAGCTGTTATGAAGTGTGTGCAGGGTGCCGCTGCACTCAGAGCAGACAAACTTCAAACGGCAGGAGCTGGGATAAAAAAGATAGCTTTTAAATACGGCAAGGATGGCCTTGAAAGAGGCAGAATTGTCTCTCTTTCAGGAATCTCAGGCCACGAGCTTAAATACAAATGACCTTTCCACTTGGCTCTTGCAGCCACAGAACGAAATGTTATTTTAACTCTGGCAATACATCCTCCCCCACCTCGGAGGAGGCCTAGCCTGGGAGTGGTCATCATCCCTGGCTACATCTAGGAATCCACTGGGCAGTGTGGACGAAAACAGGAGCCACATTCTGAAACTGATAAGATCCCGGAGGCCTGCGCGGCGGCCTTACAAACTCAGAGATCTACAGTGACCACATTGGAAGGTCTGAAATTAAAACTTCCCTCACAAGAGATGAGTCATGGTGGGTAGTCATGTCCTTGGGCGGTTTTTTTCCCTGACAAAGGTCAGTCTTTACCTTAACTGAGCCTGTCTGTCGTCTTTTCCTGCACTGCAATACCTGATAACATACCTTTGGAATATCGAAGTCAATTTCCTTTTTCCGGACCCCTCAAAGCACGGCCACCGCACCAGGGCTGAGACCACAAATCATCCTCTCACTGCTATTATCATGTTAATTGTTAACTGTTAATTATTCTATACCCACCTATGTAAAAATGTGTCTATTTGTTTTCCTTTTCATCCAGTCCCAAATATCTCCCCGCTTTGCTTTCTGTTCCCTCCCTAATCTATCACCAATGAATGTCATGTAACCCCTTACGCCTCCCCCTTTGATTATAATGTCTAAAATGAGTTGCAAAACCGCCATTCTCTGGAGCATTTTCTCAACCCGTTGAGATTTCGCTTCGCGGCAACTGTCATCACTTTGGCTCAAATCAGTTCAAAAGCTCTCCACAGGTCTGAACGTTTCTTACATTGACAGGAGTGTTCAGAGCCACCTAAGCCTCGGCCGCACTC